AAAAGTTTGCAAGAAAAGAAGATAAGGCGGTAAGAGTGTGACTGGTGGGGGAAGATTCAGAACCACTGTCAGGGAATGGGCAGCGTCTCCCATCCCACAGAGAAGCCACAGTGGCCTTAGAGCGGCTGCTGGAGGCAGGCCTGCACATCTCAGGGGTGAAAAACCACGCAGGCACCGGCAGGAAGGCATCCAGCCACGGGGTGGGACGAAGGGCTGATGCTGCCACCTATGGCCCTGCTGCACCTCACAGACACATGGCACTAAGTCAAAGAAGCCGGCCACAGGAGGACACCCAGCATGCGACTCATGTGAATGCAACATGCGCAACAGGCAAATCCACGGAGACACAAAGCACACCAGTGGCTGCCAGGAGCTGCACGGGAGGAGAGAATGGGAAGTGACTGCCTCGTACGGAGGTGATGAAAACGCTCTGGAACGCAAAGCAGCAGTATCTGCACAGAATTGTGAGCATCAAATTGAATGCCACGGAACCGTGTATTCCACCACACACACACAAATGCACGTACACAAAACCAACTCAAAGCGCAAGAAACTGCACGTGAGAGTGAGCAGTCAACAGTGATTCTAGTGACAACTTTCCTGTGGCTTAAAAGAAAGAGAACACGCTAGCTAGCTTCCATCTGCTGGTTCCCTCTGTCCTTGATGGCCAGGGCTGGACGGGGCTGAAGCCAGCAGCCTGCAGCTCCATCTGGGTGCCTCAGGTGCACGGCAGGGACCCCAGGACTTGAGCCATCACCTGCTGTGCATCAGCAGGACATTAGATCAACAGCAGAGGAAGGACTCGATCCCAGGTCCTCCAACAGGGGTGCGGGCGACCTAACCCCCTGCACAACGCCAGCCCGAGTGCACTTTTGTAACACTGTTGGACCTCCCACCACATGCCTAGCTCCCGGGTACTTTATCTTAACAATAATTATGAAGTAAGTAAACATAATTTCACTGGGTGCCGGGATAGTTTACTAGCAGGGAAAACAGGCTTCAAAGTTAATTTTATTTCAGCTCTCATCTCCTCCTTGGCTTAACTGGGTGTCCCTAGCAGCAAGCTGGATCAGAAACAGCAGCTGGGACTTGAACCGGCACCCACTGGGGATGCCAGCACTGCAGGCAGAGACTTAGCCCATTAGACCACAAGGCCGACCATGCTACTTCACTTTTTTTTTTTTTTTGAAGATTTATTTATTTATTTATTTGAAAGTCAGAGTTACACAGAGAGAGGAGAGAGGAGAGAGCAGAGAGAGAGAGAGATCTTCCATCCGCTGACTCACTCCGCAATTGGCCACAATGGCCAGAGCTGAGCCAATCCTAAGTGAGGAGCCAGGAGCCTCCCCTAGGTCTCCCACGCGGGTGCAGGGGCCGAAGCACGTGGGCATCTTGTACTGCTTTCCCAGACCACAGCAGAGAGCTGGATCGGAAATGGAGCAGCCGGGACTTGAACTGGCGCCCACACAGGATGTTGGCACCGCAGGTGGCGGCTTTACCTGCTACGCCATGGCAGCGACCCCATTACTTCACTTTTGAGCCACTGCTTCCACATCTATAAAATCTTCCTATCCCAGAGGCATACTGCAAATATTTTATGAAACAACAGTAACGCAATCAGTTCAGCAAATGAACCAATCACAGTGCTACTCACGGAATAAACGAAACAGAGCACAGCCCGAGGTCACTATCAGGCTAAGTCAATCTAGTCTGCATTGTCCTAATTTTAGAATGAAACACCCCATATTGTGAAAACACTAGAAATGAGATTTTTTTAAATAACATTTTTTTAAAGATTTGTTTATTTGAGAGGCAGAGTTACAAAGAGAGGGAGAGACATAGAAAGAGGTCTTCCATCCACTGGTTCATGCCCCAATTAGCTGCAGCAGCTGGAGCTGGGCCGACCCAAAGCCAGGAGCTTCTTCCGGGTCTCCTACATGGGTGCAGGCGTCCAGGGATTTGGGCTACCTTCCACTGCTTTCCCAGGCCAACAGCAGGGAGCTGGACTGGAAGTAGAGGAGCTGGGACTTGAACCGCTGCCAAGAGATGCCAGCTCCACAGGCAGAAGCTTAACGTAACTACTCCACAGTGCCAGGCCCCAACTTTTTTTGGACAGGCAGAGTTAGACAGTGAGAGAGAGAGACAGAGAGAAAGGTCTTCCTTCTGTTGGTTCACCCCCCAAATGGCCGCTACGGCTGGTGCGCTGTGCCGATCTGAAGCCAGGAGCCAGGTGCTTCCTCCTGGTCTCCCATGCAGGTGCAGGGCACAAGCACTTGGACCATCCTCCACTGTCTTCCCGGGCCACAGCAGAGAGCTAGTCTGGAAGAGGAGCACCTGGGACAGAATCTGGCACCCCAACTGAGACTAGAACCTGGGGTGCTGGTGCCGCAGGCAGAGGATTAGCCAAGTGAGCCATGGCGCCGGCCAACATTTTTTATTTTAAAGTAACATTAGGGTCCAGTGCTGTGGTGTAGCAGGTAAAGCTACCGCCTGAAGCACCAGCATCACATGTGGGCACTGGTTCGAGTCCCAGCTGCTCCATTTCTGATCCAGCTCTTTGTTAATGTGCCTGGGAAAGCAGTGAAGGATGGCCCAAATGCTTGGGTCCCTGCACCCACATGGGAGACCTAGAAGAAGCTCCTGGCTCCTGGCTTCCACCTGGCCCAGCCCCAGCCATTGCAGCCATTTGGGGAGTGAAACAGAGAATGGAAGCTCTCTCTCTCTTTCTGCCTCTACCTCTTCTTATCTGTAACTCTGCCTTTCAAATAAATAAATAAACCTCAGGGGGAAAAAAAGTAACATTTCTAAGGTGGGCATTTGACATGGGATGCCCACATCCCACACTGGAGTGCCTGGGTTTGAGTGCTGGCTCCGGCTCCCAACTGCAGCTCCTGATAACACACACCCTGGGAAGCAGCAGCTGATGGCTCAAAACCTTGGGTCCCTGCCCGCTGCGCGGGAGACCTGGGTTGAGTTCCTGGATTCAAGCTTAAGCCAGGTCAGCCTCAGCCTTTGGCAGACACTTGGGGAGTGAGCCAGTGGACCAGAGCTCTGTCTCTGTCTCTGTCTCTGCCTCTCAAAGGAAAGAAAATCACTAACATTTCTCCCCAACAGCATAGCCGTGTAGTACATTTCCCAACACAGCTGATCAACAGTTTGACTTAACTCTAGAAAGCAACTATGCAAGAATTTATAGTTTACAGAAAATACACAGCACTCTCGATTCTCGGAAACTGATCACACAATAGGGGTAAGAAAAGCCCAATGAGTTCCTCAGTCTTTCTTTAAACTAAGGTTGCTGCTACGTTACTTTAAATGGGAGAACCTCTCCACTCTTGAAATGTCTGTATCAAGGGAAGAGTGTGATCTTTCCTGATAATCTGTCATTTGTGGCAGTCTCCACCATCAGAGCCTGTCGCTGTCAGTTCATACCCATTTGTTTCTTTCTTCAGAGGACAACACAGAAAACTACAAACAGCAGAAGGATGCATCCCTCTCTTTAAAAGGAAGTCACTTCCTCAGCTGTTCTTATTTTCTAACACCCTGCAAATGGCTGGTTTTAAACTTTTAATCACAAAACCTTCTCAGCAGGAAGCCAAGGGAAATCCTTCCTGGGAAAGGGTGTGTGTGTGTGTGTGTGTGTCAGGACGGAGGGGCCTGAGGAGCCGCTGCCAGGGCGCCCATCTGCTCCGAGCCCCTTCCACTCAGCCACAGAGACCGGAGTCCAGCCAGGGCCACAGCGTAAGAGGAGGCGACGACCTCTTCGCCTCATTCCTGTTTTCAGAACCCACTCTCCGCAGAGACGTTCAGTGAAGTGACAGAGAACAAGACGAGAACAGACTCCATGCTCAGCCAGGCCCTCACCGACACGCTGGGTCGGAGACGCCAGACACAGAGGGTGCTCCGGCCGGCCTCTTCAGGTCCAAGAGCGCCTACTTCACAGGGCTCGGGCCCTCGCGCGCGGAGAGGAGGAGACCCTAACGAAGTCACACCCCCTCGATGCACCGGCTAAGTGAGGCTGCGCGCGTTGCCACCTCTCGCTGCTGCCACGTCCCCTTCTCTGAACGAGGATAACGTCCGTGCCGCCTCTTTACAGGGCACGGTAGGGATGGGCTTATTTGTTGTTTGCGCCTGTCGTGCAGTCAGAGCCACAGAACGCTAGCAAGCACTCCCAACGGCAGCAGCGGCAGCAGCCTGGCATGCCTTTCACCAGCTACGAAAACCGTGGAAAGCTACAATCAACGCTGTCACGCCTGGAAACAATTCTCCAGAAAGTGTCTTCACCACAAACCAAACCGAACTGCATCAACGAACTACAGCAGCGCGCATCAGTGCCTACCCAGCAGAAGTCTCTCGAAATTGTAACTCCAGGTGCTGCTCTGAGGACAGATGTGAGTGACAGCTCAGCACTCGGACTCGACTGTCAGAGGGAGGCCCGGGCGCCCCTCGGCACCACGTCTGTTCCCTGGCTTAACCATCTTCCGCGGCTCACACATGGAAGCAACGGGCTGTGGGCTTCCTGCGTTCATTCTGGCTATAACACACATTCCACATGCACCAGCGAGCACCAGCGCCCGGGCCACAGAATCCCATTAAGAACTGTGGAACATTTTCATAACTTAAAAAAAAAGAAAAGCAGGGTTCTATTTAAATCAGCTGCCAGTCCTCGCACCAAATCCATAGTATAGTCCTGGACACTGTTTCAAAAACTAATTTTGATGACCAAAAAAAAGTAAAAAATCTCAAGAGAAAAATGACTCTGAAACCTCAGCATCGTGGGGAGCAGACTCTGCCCTTCCCCTTCAGAGACAGGGCTGCCGACAAAGATCGCGCTCCCAAGTTCCCGGGCCCTGTGCTTTCTTTTCTCCCCCAAGAACCTGCCAGTTCCCTCCCGCCCTGCCTCCCAGGCGACTCCCCGGGCGGACCCAGCTCCAAGGAGCCTGCTGGCCCAGGACGAACATCGGTGTCGGCACGGCACACAGCCCCACCAGCCCACTGACCTTCTGGTGACTGGTGACCTCGTCCCTGCTCCGCCCCAGCTCCTCGGCAAGTCTGACGTTCTCTTCTTGCAGCGCCGAGAGCTGCTGGGACTTCTGAGCGGCCGCCTGCTTCAGGGTTTCGCTGCAAGGTTACCATGGAAACGAGTCAGGCAGGGAAACTGGGGGACACAGCCAGCCCCACAGCGCCGAGGAGAATTTATCTGGGTCACGTGCCGCAGGAGCCACAACAGGGAGGCTGCACAGCGGCAGCCCCTCAGACAGGGCTGTCGCCCACAGTCATTGTATTTAAAAACCTGACAAACAGGACGCCCCCTCCCACCGCCTACGCTGATCCCATACGAAAAGGAATCCTGCTATGAAATACATGACAAGTGAGGTGGTCAGCATAAGCCCTCTTGTCTCTAGAAGCATCTCCATGAGATAATTACACTAGAGCGCACCACACTGCTAACGTCAAGTAGCTTGCTGCCAAGGCACTCGGTCGAACAGCACAGAACTGTAACCTGTGTTTCTCTGGCAGAAATAAAAACCCACCAGTCCCATTTACCAGTACCTGCCAGAGTTAATCCCTGAGGGGAATCTGGGTACATTTTTAGAACTAGAGGTTAAATTCCCAAAGGAAACATGATTTTCTAATTAAATAACAGGTGTCTTGTTTTGATAGTACAATATCAATTTGCAATTAAAAGAACCAAATGAAAATATAATAGAGCCTGCTAACCTGTACCCAAGAATACCAGCACATGAAACAGGAACAGTTATAGGATCTAGTTATTTAAATATCTTCCCATTATTAAAAGTAATCTAAAAATACATCCTGAATTATTACCCTTTACATACAGGTATTTACAATACTAGATTTGGGCACTGGATTTTAGTTTTATGCCATAGAAGGCTTTGATGCAATTACGAATTTTTAAAGAATTCGGTGCTGGATAAACTCCCTAGCAAGCTGTCGTGTGTGGCTGAGTTCTGGATCCAGTCATCTGGGCGTGAATCCACCTGTTGATTCATGAACACATCTATTTTTAACTTCAATTGTCTGATGGGTGGCAGTGCTTGGCATCTGCAATTTTCTCAATTTTTAACTCCCCATCTACCTATAATACCCATACTAGATGACTTCATGAATTTGGGGGAAAAAATCTTTAGAAAAATTCTCTTACAACACTGACTGAGGCTTTTTACAGAGACGTTTTCAGCAAGGAAATCTGAGAAGGAATTTCAGTCTCAAGGGTTTAGTCATTCAAAGGCTGGGAGCCTCCATCTCAATTCGGGATCTTGGCACGCACACCTGCCCCCCAAAAAAAGAGTATTACGAAAAAGATGTGCCTGGGTGGCAAGTTTTGCACCAAACTGAAAGTATCTTTTAATTCCACTTTCCATGAGCCTTTTCAAATAGCTTCGCCACGTGTATGTGCACACGCGGTACAGCTAAAGTTCTTGTCCTGGCCAGAGCACACGCCTGAAGGAACAGGAGAGATGGACTCAGCCTGATCCGGACGTCCTGCCTCCCAGGTGGTCACTGCCTTCAGCAGGCCTCTCTGGTCTCGCATTTACACGGCCTTGCAGAGGGGCAAAGCCTGTGCCCAGTTCCTTCTCTGTCTTTTAAAGATTGGTTTAAAGTCCTTGGTTTATAGTAAGACCCTGCGGTAAAGGAAACCGAAAGAGTCAAAGAACTAAAATTTTTAAATGGCCAAAATGACCTAAAAAAATGACATTGGACGTCTGACAACCCAGACCGCTCCCGAGCGCGTTTCGGCATTTCTCCCCAAAGCGAAGGAGGTGATGTGGTTCCTTGTGTTCTAAGCTGAGAAAACGGAGCTCAGAGAAGTGCAAGAATTTGACCTAAATCAAAGCCAGGAAATAGCAGAACCAGAAGAACTGCGGCTGCCGCTGGGGGCGGACTCAGTTGTGATCCAAACACGAGGACACTCAGTCTCTCTCTAGCGGGTCGTGTGGAACGCATTTCACAGAGGAAAAAGGCTCCTAAGGCCCAAATTCCGAAAACACTCAAGGGAGGATTCTGAAAATAGCTACAAAAATATTTCTACCAATGTTTAAAGAAGCTACATTTCTATCTATAGAACAGGGTATCTTCAAAAAGAAAAGGCTAAAGTAAGTGGCAAATAGGCATTATTAACACTGACCTACAAACATTTTACTTATGAATCCATAATAAATCTGTAATCATGCTAGGAAAAATGGAATTAAAAGGTAAGTTTATTTTGGGGGAAAAAAAATTTGAAATCCATAGTTTTCTCATAATACGCATTTTTCACACTTTTCCAAGACCCATGTATGCATGGACTTCAAGGGTCTCTGCACCAACATAATCATTCGATTCCATCTTCCATGAACAAGTTGAAGTATACTTGTATATTCTAGACTCTGTTACTGTGCCAGATGAGAAATTAAAGATAAAAATCAGATTGTTTGTACTGTTTTTCCTAACATCCAAAATTATGCATCAGTGAGGAAGCATTTCACGGTCACTCTCACTGAAAACAGACGCTGGCTGGCCAAAGTCAAGAGCCTTCCTAAAGCCACTGTGCTAAAGGGCACAGAGGGAAAGAACAGCAGGTCCCAGCTGCAGGCAGGACGCTCTGAGGGAGCCTCCGGGTCTACAACAGATCCACTCTGGCCCGGCCCCCTCATTACCTAGTGTGGCCCAGAGAGCTCAGAGGTGGGGCTATGGCAGTGGGAGGTTGGGTAGGGGATCTTCTGCCGCTCACATCCTCCCTCACCAGCTGCCTGTGTAACACAAATGAACTAAAGTCAGCTCAGTGTCCGTAACGGCCCAGCTTAGCAAAGCTACTGTGTCCCGGAGACAAGAAATCCTGACCGTAACTGAACCGTGAGATGCAATCACCCTTCTCCTGACCCATTACCTATCCGGATCATTTGGCTTTGGAAGGGCATAAAAACCTAAACCTCTCCTTCCGGCCATAACCACAACTGAAAATCTATAAATGTAAGCAGGACTGTGGGGAAATGTCTGGATGTAGTTTAGGGAATCCGTCATCATCATCTCTTCAATAAATGACACAACCCCTTGGAGGGCAGGAACTGCATGTGATTCACCTTCCGATCCTCCCTAGCTTGACTGCACCTGACGCAGAGGACATACTCCAACACCCACGGGATGACTGGCTTTGGATTGTCAGGTTCATGCACTGTGCTTATCAGAAGTCTTAGCAGAAGCTTCACGGTAACCATCAGTTAAAATGCCAGATAAATACCAATCTGTAGCCACTACCGTAACTAAATGTGAAAGGCAAAGACTGAAGTCATCATCAACGAAGAAAACATGAACAGCCCACATGCCTGAAAAACCAGTCAGCAGGCTGACAGATAAAAACTAAGGCCCCCAAACGCCGAGACTTAATTTCCAAGCCATCAGATTTAGTTACTCTTAAGATCAAGATATTGAGGGGCTGGCGTTGTGGTGCAGTGAGTTAAGGCGCCACATAAAGCGTTGGCATCCCATATCAGAGGGCCGCTTCGAATCCCGGCTGCACTGCTCTGCTTCCAGTCCAGCTCCTTGCTAATGTGCTTGGGAAAGCAGTGGAGGGTGGCCCAAGTGCTTGGGCCCCTGCACCCACAAGGGAGACCCGGAGTGAGTTCTTGGCTCCTGGCTTCAGCCTGGCCCAGCCCCAGCCGTTGTGGCCATCTTGTGAGTGAACCAGTGGATGATGGAAGATTCTCTGTCTCTCTCTCTCTCTCTCTGTCACTCTTTCAAATAAGTAAGTGGTTTTAAAACATCAAACCACTGAAAATCCTGAACAAGACACCCTGGTTTTTGTCCTATAGAAAGAGTCTTTAGGGAGTTAGTAAACATCTCTGAGGGTTGAGACCGGTGTCCTGCCCACGAGTAACTCGCGCCTGACTCTGCCTGGAACTTCACGAGCTTTACAAAGCCACCACTCAGGAGCGAGCACGCAGCCCCCCCGATCTCTTCCCGTGGCTGTGGGGACAGTTCTGGGGGGCAGGAGGGTGGCAAGGACACTTTACTTTTTCTCTTTTTCATATATTAGAAAAAAATCAGCACCGTTTCCACTTATGCAATTTAAAATAAGTTCTGAGTCTCAAGGAGAAGCAACTTACATTTCTTTCCTAAATTCTTCCAGTTTTTGGTTCTCTACAGTCAGAAGTTCTTTTGACTTGTTGAGCTCTTCCACATTCTTCAGGTTGTTTTCTTTAAGTGTGTCCAACTTAAACACCAAGAGAAAAACACTTGATGAAATTATCCAGTTTCCGCGTGGCATGACTGGGTCAATTATTCATGAAAATGTGTGTTAGGAAAAAGATGAATCAGTCACTTGGAAAAAAAAAAAAAAAAAAAAAAAAAAAAAACAAACACCAAAAACAATCACCTGGGTGAAGAGATTACAAGTGAAAGGCTATTATAGAGCTCAAACCTGGTCCTTGCAGGCATCCCACACTTCCTGTGTGTGGCCAAATGGCAAACTGAACTGCTACAGAAATTCAAACGCAAGCTTCCTTTTATCTTACGCACAAGCCTCAGTATTTATCAGTGAATCTGCTAACGAAGTATGACCCATCGTCAAAAAATAAATAATTAAGAAACTAATGACATCAGTAAGAGTTAATCTTGGTAACAAAACAAATCCCCTTTGCTTCCCCACAGATTAGTCATTTAGAGTATGACATTTCTCAGCATCAGTAACAATTTATATAATCTTCAATTCAAAATCTGTTGACTTGAATCAAGATATTTGTAGACTGGAAAAAAAATTTAGTTATCTCTCTGAACTTTGAAGCGCAAAAAGCCATGCAGTGAGGGAGTGCATGTCTCCCACACACAGTCCCATGGGAGACACGGCCAGCTTAGGGCCTGGACCCTGGTGGGAAAGCCACACGACTGGGGCCTGGAGGGGTGTCCTGGACCACAGCCTCCAGCAGGTGCCAGACCCCCAGGTGCAGAGCTCCTGTCGAGGCTGGGGACTCGGACAGCTGCCGCGACACGGAGTGTCCCCGGGCCTCGTGCACTTGTCTTCTACAGCCAGAAAGGGAGCCGTGTCCTGTCGTGTCGCACGCCCCCATTCCCTGCTAGTCTGAATGCTACCACCTCCCCTTCAACGCCTCTCACACGCCAGGTGCACGTCACCACCGGCCCAGGAAACGGCTCATCCTGTCTGTGTCTGGCTTCAACAGAGACACCAGGGTTAAGCTGCAGGAGGACACGACTCCGTGACTCATTCCAAAGGTCAGCGGCTTCCCCTGAGTTTTCCGTTTACTCTCTGCGCCAATCCTGATCAGGATCTCTGACCGCTTTTTAATGCTCTCACATTTTCAGGCTTCTCTTGGGCTTGTCAGTTCCCATAAATGTACTCTTTTCTAGGCATATTTATCCGACAATTACTTCAAAACACTCCTGTCTTTGTAGACTTTGAACTTTGACCTTCCACAACAAGGAGGCCTCATATGCAAGCTGCCATCATGTGGCCACTCCTTTCCTTGTTTCAGCTCCTTACTGTCTTCCCTGCCTATCACTTTAATGAGCACCCAGAGTCACAGAACTTCACACAGCCGTTTTGGCAACAGGTTTCCAGGAAAGAAAGGGTTGGTGGAGTGGGCATTTGGCAGAGCAGCTAGGACGACGCTTGGGATACTCAGAGTGTCTGAGTTCAAGTCCCAGCTCCACTCCCAATACCAGCCCCCTGCGAATGTGCACCCCTGGGAGGCAGCAGGTGATGGATTAAGTACTCGGGTCCTTGACACTCACATGCAAGACCCGGATTGAGTTCTGGGCTCTAGGGCATTTGAGAGAGGAACTAGCATATGGAAAATGTCTCTCTCCCTCCCTCTCAAATAAAATTAAAATTTAAAAATATGGTTGGTGGGACCGGTGCTGTGGCATAGCAGGTAAAAGCCGCCACCTGCACTGCTGGCAGCCTGTATGGATGTTGCTTTCAGTCCCGGCTGCTCCACTTCTGATTCAGCTCTCTGCTGTGGCCTGGGGAGCAGTAGAAGATGGCCCAAGTCCTTGGGCCCCTGCACCCATGTGGGAGACCCAGAAGAAGCTCCTGGCTCCTGGCTTTGGATCAGCACAGCTCTGGCTGCTGCGGCCAATTGGGAAGTGAACCAGCAGATGGAAGACCTCTCTCTCTACCTCTCAAATAAATAAAAGGGAATCAGAGAAGGGAACACCAAGGAGAAATCCAAGTTAGAGAGAGGCAGAGGCTGAGAGGGAGGTTCTCCATCCACTGGGCTACTGAAGCCAGCAGCCAGGAGCTTCCCCCGGGTCTCCCATGCGAGTGCAGGGGCCCAAGCACTTGGGCCATCTTCTACTGCATTCCCTCGGCCACAGCAGAGAGCTGGATTGGAAGTGGAGCAGCCAGGACTTGAACTGGTGCCCATATGGGATGCCGGTACTACAGGTGGTGGCCCTACCTGCTATGCCACAGCACCGGCCCCCAGTCCAATTATCTTGACACCACAAATCCATCCCCAGTCCAAAAAATGACAAAAAAGGGAATTTGGCATTGAATTAGGCCAAGAAAATGCCTACCTAGATCAAGCTCAGGGCTAGGGAACAGAACCCAGTGGCTCAAGGTAAAGAGAGATTTGAAGAGGGAAACGTGTGTGTGCTATGAAATAAAGGATATGGGCCGGCGCCGTGGCTCACTTGGTTAATCCTCCACCTGTGGTGCCGGCATCCCATATGGGCGCCGGTTCTAGTCCCGGTTGCTCCTCTTCGAGTCCAGCTCTCTGCTGTGGCCCGGGAAGGCAGTGGAGGATAGCTCAAGTGCTTGGCCCTGCATGGGAGACCAGGAAAAGCACCTGGCTCCTGGCTTCGGATCGGATTGGCACAGCGCCGGCTGTAGCAGCCATTTCGGAAGTGAACCAATGGAAGGAAGACCTTTCTCTCTGTCTCTCTCTCTAACTCTGCCTGTTTAATAAAAAAAAGAAAGAGAGAAAGAGAGAGAGAGAGAGAAAGAGACAGAGACAGAGCGAAAGAGAGAGAAAGGAAGGAAGGAAGGAAGGATACGTAAACTAGACAGTGCCACGAGGACCCTCTCTCGCCAGGGCTGTCACTCAACAGCTCCCTTGGAAAGCCACGCTGTAAGGACTTCCCTGTTTGTAAAGGTTGGTCCTAACAAATAATTGATGAAGTAATACATTTTATTTAATATTATCGCAGCTCTGATGTACATTTGACTCTACTAACATGGATCAAACCTGCATAAGGCCACTTAAAAAAAAATAAGCATTCCTGCGTTAGTGATCAAACATTCCGCGAAGCTGATAAGCGGTTCTCTGTACAAAAAGCCATTTAAATCTGATTACTTCATTCTGTAGTTGTGCATTTGTTTGCTTGGTGTCCTCCAGGGAGGCCAGAGTCTCCATCTTCTCTTTGGTCATCTGTTCCGCTGTCTGCATGGTGTCGTCTGCTGTCTGCGTAGCCTAGACACAAGAGAACACCGTGAGACAGGAAGGCACCCACTGGGACGCTGCTGGGTCACTGTCAGGCAGTCTGCGAGGTCTGTCTGGGGAGGGGGGCACACAGAGAGGACAACACGGTCATGGCCCCACGCAGAAACAAACACGCCAAGACACAAGAGGCCTTCCCTCTCACGCAGAACGACGTTCAGGCCCTTTCCTTGCCGTCTTCCCACAGTCAACTAATACGCAATTTGTCCGTTTTCCAGGGCCCTCTACACCTGCAGCCTCCAGGGAAAGCAGCAACCTGCCCCGCCAAGCGCGCTCCCGTCACTCTGGCTTACGGCTGAGAGACCGCGAGACCGCTCGGCGGGAACAGAGTGGAAACCCCCTCCTCTGCTAGTCTGCTCTTAGTCGTATTTGCTGCGAGTTTAAGGGACTGGTCTTGCCGTTTCAAAACTGGGGCTTCTGGAATTACCTGGAATTTAGGTTGAGATTTTTTTTTTTTTTAAGAACAATACAAATTATTTGGGCAGTGACAGCATAAGGCTCAAGTGTTTAATGAGAAGTTGTGGATAATGAATGTAAACATGGCTGTGAATGAAAACAAGACATGCATATGGAGACAAGTTCTTAGGTGTTATACACAAAAATGATTTAAAAATTCAAAGATTTTAAGGCACTGGCTTATGATTTCATTTGGTCTCACTCACATTTACGGGAGTTCTGAATCCTACCTTCCCTACTGTCAGTCACGGGGAGGTCAGGGCACTCCTCCAACGCAGACACACAGACACAGCTGAACAGTCAAAAGCCAGAGAAGACACTGTTTCAGCGTGTGCCCACCTCACTGAGGCCCTTCCAGGCTTAAGAGCCACAGTGAACTCTTTCCACAATGTTTTCCCTTAAATTAAAAGATAAATCCTTTTTTTTCCCAAACGGGGAGACTCCAGCGATTAGACATTTTGCAGAGAACTGCCCGTTCAGACTGCGGTGCACAGCAGGAGGCACACAGCCGCTGCCTTAACGGGGAGGGTTTTCCTAAGCAGAGTGGGGAGCCGTCACCTATGCCGCTAGGTAGTGCCCGTGTGAGTAAGGCGTCCGGCGCTCAGCAGCTGCCCCCTCACTTTACCGTGAACGAATGAAGGGCCTCGAGCTCTCTAATCCTAAGGGCGAGCTTGCTCTTGTCTTTCCTCAGAGTGCGGTTTTCCGCCTGCGACTCGAGCAGGCCGGCCGAGATGCGGCTGTTGGCGGTGGCCAGCTGGCCGAGCTCCCGCTGCAGGACGAAGTAGCTCTCCTCCAGCTTCTCCTTCTCCTGCAGCAGCTCGTCCCGCCGCTGCGCCGTCTCCCGCTGCTCGGCCAGCAGGCTCTGGTTGTCTTGCATCACCTTGGCCCTCTCAGCCAGGGTCACCTCGTGGTTCAGCCGGAGGTCGTCCAGGATCTTGGTGAGGTAGCTGTGCAGCTCCTGGAGCTCCAACTTGGACTTGGACAAGGTGGCGAAGTCGCTCTTGAGGGTCTCTATGTTGGCGGCCAGCTGCGCCGTTTCCGCACTCAGCAGCTCCTTCTCCTTGATTATCTCCACCACCCTCTGCTCGGACGTGGCCTTCTCCTGGATCAGCGCAAACTTCTCGGCCTGCAGCTCCTCGGCGCGCACTCTCAGCTCCGCCACCTCCTGCTCCAGGAGCACCAGCCGCCCGTGCAGCTTCTTGTTCTCGTACAGGGATGACTCGCTTTCCTTCGCTCTGGCCTCCTTCTCCAGGGCCAGCGCCTGCTGCGCGGCGTGGGTCTCCTCGCTCAGCTTCTGACACTCCTCCTGCAGGTTCAGGCCGTCTCTCAGCAGCATGTTCTTCTCGCAGCAGCAGGCCTGCAGCTCAGCGTTCAGACTCTCCCGGGCGTGCAGCATGTCCGCGCGCTCCTGCTCCAGACGCTTCCGGGCGTCCTGGGCCTCCTTCAGCATGAGAGAGAGGTCGCGCTTGCTCGCCGCCAGCTCCTGGCTTTCCCTTTTCGTCTCGAGAAGCTCCTTCTTGAGGGCGTCGACGCTGCCCAGCAGCTTCATCTTCTCGTGCACGGCGAGTCTTCGGTTGGCCGACTCCTGGTCGTACTTCCTTTTGAGGTCTCCTAGGGCTTTGATGGAGCCCTCTCTCTCTGCGAGTAGGTCTGCATTTCGCTTCTCCAACACCGACTTGTCTTGCAAGAGGCCTTCCTGCTGCCTTCTGAGCTTGCTCAGCCTCTGGCACACGGCCTCCTTCTCGGAAGCCAGGCAGGCGATCTTCTCGCTCAGGCCCACCTCGGCGTGCGCGGCCTCCTCCGAGCGCCTGCTGAGCCTCTCGGTGATGGCCCTGCTTTCACTCGCAAGCTCCTCCTTCTCAGCCAAGAGCCTCCGCTCGGAGGCGGCCAAGGCCTCCTTCTCGTGGAGGAGCTGGAGGCGCTCGGAGTCTGTGATCGCCCGGCTGGTCTTGGTCTCCTGCAGGAGCGCCGTGAGGCTCGTGTTCGTGGCCTGAAGCTGCCGCGTCTCCAGCTCGGCCTTCCTCAGGGCTTTGCTGGCGCAGTCCAGCTGAGCCCGCAGCCCGGCGGCCTCCGAGCTGAGCAGCTCCTTGACCTGCAGGGCGGCCTCCAGGCTGGCATTCAGCTTCTCCTGGCCTTGGAGCAGCGCGTCCTTCTCCAGCTGCAGGTCCCGCTGGCTCTGCAGGAGCCCGTCCCGTTCCACCTTCAAGGCTACGCACGCGCTATCCAGGCGCGACTGCTTCTCTAAAACCGACCTCTTCTCACTCGTGAGGTCTTCGATCTCCTGCACCAGGGCCTTCTGGTCTGTGGCCAGCTCCTCATAGGAGCTCTGCAGCTTCCGAATCACGTCATCCTTGTCTTTAGCCAAGGCAAGGTTTTCGGTAAGCAGCTTCCTGATCCGGCCCTCCAGGTGGTCTTTCTCCTCCCGATCCCTCTTAGCCTCGGCCACCAGGGCATCCTTGCTGACCTGGAGCTCCCGGACGAGCACCTGCAGGCTCACCCTGGAAGCCTGCAGAGAGTCGTTTTCCACACTCATCTTCAAGACTTCTTCCTGGGCAACGTGGATTTCCTGAAGCAGTTTCTCTCTCTCCACAGCCAAGGCTTCTTTGTCGAGATACTCCTGCTGGTAAAACTGCTTCTCCTCTAAGACTTTCTCCTTCTCCGAAGCGAGGGCTTCGTTGACTGACCAGAGCTTCTGCTGGTCTTCCTGGAGCAAGGTGACTCTGGCCTCCACTTCTACAAGCTCTGATAAGAGCGAACCTTTCTCTAGCTTTAAAGCATTTCCCTCCTGAGCAAGAAGCTGCTTCTCTGACTTCAGGCCCCTCAGCTCCTCTGACATTACTTCAATTTCTTTTTTGGCTGATGTTAACAAATAGGTTAGCGACTACAGAGACAAAAGGTGGAAAGAATGGAAACAAAGATGAAATCGAGCAGACAAATGCAAGCCCAAATAACTTACGGCGGCCTAAATCATCAGTGGTTAGCATTCTCTACGGTAAACGTCATAGGAACTATCTGACTAACTAGGTAAACAGAGCCCAGGAAGGGACGGCATTAAGCAAGGTGGCTCTGCGAAGGACTCATACGTCTGTTGGCTGGAAACGACTTGTGAGATTACTTCCTGACAGCTACCGAAAAGATGAAAATGGTAGCTTGATCCTGATGTCAGCACGAGACTCTCTGGCCACTTCAATTACCCAATTATTCATTTCTTTGGTAGAAGGATTACCAAAAGAATATTTTTTTTAAATACGATTCAAAGAACTTTAAAAATTATTATACTTTAATTTTTAAAAAAGGAAGCGTAACAAGGGAAAATAAATTGATACTTATCAAACTTCAGCCCTTTACTCACTAAAGGCAGCCACTAGGATGAGAATGAGTGAGTCTTAGTATCACAGAACATACTAAAAATACAGATGGGGCTGCAGCTGTGGCACAGTGGTTGAAGCCTCTGCCTGCGACACCACACCACACCCCTGAGAGCCCAGTCTGAGTCCCTGCTGCTCCACTGCTGACCCAGCCCACTTGCAAATGGCCTGGGAAAGCAGCAAAGGATGGCCCGAGTCTTTGGGCCCCTGCCCTCCACATGGGAGACCCAAATGAGCCTCCTGACTTTGGCCTGGCCCAGTGCTGGCTGTTGTGGCCATCTGGGGAGTAAACCAGAGGATGGAAGATTCTCTCTCACTTTCTCTCTCTCTAACTCTCCCTCTCTCTAACTCTAACTTTTTTAAAAAAGATACAGACCAATTTCTAGGCTTTGGGAACTGAAATGAATAGATCATTTCTGTAAACATATTAGTTTATATGAAAGTTTGACCTCGGTGTCTACACTAGTGCCATGTTGTGCAATGATGTGAATGTTCCTACCTAAAACGTCCCATCTAAAAGCCGAGTGAGTAACTCCTAAGCGTTTGAAAAGTGGTGAGTGTAACCAAGGAGCAGAATTTGTAATTTCATTAAGTATTCCAAGTTCAGATTGAGGTGGCCTCACGTGGCTAGTGGCCGCTGAAGTGGACAGCACAGTTCTAGACCATGGGCTCCTGAAATTAGGAGTACGGGGCTTTGAGGGTTCTGTGGGCCTCCTGAAATTGTGCATCAGACTTGGGGTGCACATGGCAGCACTCCTGGGAAAACACCTTTGGGCTGCACCAGGCTCTCCAAAAAAGCCAGTGTCTCACTAAAACCAGATGTCCAGAAGGCTTTGGACAGGGAGCAAGTGCAGCATTTTGACCAAATGACCTTGGGACAGCAAAATGAATGGAGAATTTTCCACAAGCCATGGAATGCTGTAGTTTGGTCAGGCTGCAACGTTTTAAAGGAAATGCTACAAAACTGCAGACTGTCCAGATAAGGGGGACCATAGAGAGAAATGACCAGAGAATTACATCCTGTTTCATGGGAAGAAAAGCCTGGACTGCCCGCAGGTAGTCGAGGGCACACGTGGCCTCCTACATGTTCCAAGGTCCACTTAGCAACAGCGGGTTCTCAACAGGACAGGTGTCAAGTCCTCTTTTAATATATGTTCCTACTACTACGCCCCCGTAGAAACATTTCTCTTAAAAATAAAGAAAAGCATTTACTTTTCCTTGATCAGTAAGAAACTAAAAAGAAGACAGACTGAACTTCATCAAGTTACTGGGGTCAAAAGCTACACCGGGAAAGCACTCCTGTCCAAGACAGACGGGGCTGCGCCCTCTCCTGAGATGCCGGCCTGGTCTGCCAGGTGGTGGTTTCCCCTTCACACGTCACCACCTCACCTACCACTAAAAACGAACAAAAGCTGCACTGGGCACAGGTACAGTCCCCACACCATAAAAGAAATTCAACGTATCAAGGTCTCCTGCATTACAAGATTTCCTCACTACCAGCAGCCAGCCTCCTTATCCACAGGCTCACAGTGCCAGGGTGTACGTGTGGGCGTGTACATGCACACACGTGTGTGTGCGCTTCTGTATGTGTGTAGAGCTGCGTGTGTACATGCACACACGTGTGTGCACGTTTCTGTGTATAGACGAGCCATGTGTGGATACATGCACACACGTGTGTGCGTGCTTCTGTATGTGTGTAGACGAGCCATGTGTGTGTACATGCACAGACGTGTGTGTGCGTTTCCATGTGTGTAGAAGAGCCGTGTGTGTGTGTGTGTGTGTGTGTGTGTGCAGGAGCCCTCCCTGTGGGCCTCTCTTGCAGGTGGGCTCTGCCCAGTTCTCACTCTGTCCGTCTGCTCCCCTTGGCCTCTGCCTCTCACTTTCTGTCCTCACTGGAGTTCAAGGCGGCACTGGGCTCAGCAGACAGGAGGAACGTGCTCTCCAACACCAGAGAGCCTGCAGCAAGCAGGAAGAGGAAGCGCAGGCCACAGGACAAACACAGCGGGGAGCAAGCAGCACAGAGGGTGGTGACAGCGACACGGTCCCCCTTCCGGGGAAAGACCTGCAGCTGTCGCCACCCTGAGGAGCAGCAGAGGGGAGGGAGTGCCGCCGTTCAGCACCCGGAGCCGGCTGTGTGCGCTCTGACCAGCCCTGCAGCCGCAGCCCGACGCACTCCCTGCAGGGACGCACTCTGGCCTTGTCGGCTTGCGCTCGCAGCTCCTCCACCTCCTGCAGCAGCTCTCTGCTCTGCGCCTGGGCAGCCCTCAGCTCCTCCTCTGTGCCCAGCAGCGCCTTCTGCAGGTTCTGCAGGGCCTCCTCGTGCTTCGCGTTCATCTCGGAACTGGCTTTTTCGTACTGGGCCTTCAGGTCCTGACACTGGCTGTGGCTGGTCTCCACCTGCTTTTCCTGCAGGAACCGTGGGGGAGAGGTGAGTCACCCAGCCATGTTCCGACCCCCCCGCCTTCCGTGCCAGCAGAAGGGCCCACCCACCCTCCTTACCAGGTCCAGCAGTTGCTTCTCCAGCTCCTTCTTTTCCCCCTCGTGTTTCACAGCTGCTTCGCGCTGGCTCTGCTCGGCTTTGAGGGCTGCTTCTCCAATGCTCTTCTGCAGGAAACTTGCATTCTCATTGGCCTTCGTTAGCTTCAGCTGTAATTCCTCTACACATCTGGAATAAGTTCCAATACAAAGTGTCAGATTTTTCATAAAAATATATTTAAGAATTAAATTGAAAATATATTACGGATAATAATTGTATTAATGATGACTAAAATTCACAAATAATTAATAACATCTGAAATAGGCTAATTAAATGACAGGGGTGAATATTTAGCCTCGCAGTTAAGATACTGGTTAAGATGCCTGTAAGGCCCAGTGCTGTGGCATAGCAGGTAAAGCCGCCACCTGCAGTGCTGGCATTCCCATATGGACGCCGGTTCAAGTCTCAGCTGCTCCACTTTCAATCCAGCTCTCTGCTTTGGCCTGGCAAAGCAGTAGAAGATGGTCCAAGTCCTTGGGCCCCTGCACCCACATAGGAGAACTGGAAGAAGCTTCTGGCTCCTGGCTTCAGATCAGCACAGCTCCAGCTATTGCAGCCAGGATGGAAGACCTCTCTCTCTCTCTGTTTGTAACTCTACCTCTCAAATAAATACATCTTAAAAAAAAAAAAAAAAAAAAAAAAAAAAAAAGATGCCTGTAATACACATAGGAGTACCTAGGGTTCAGGCCGCGGCTCTGGCTCCTGACTCCAACTTCCTGCAAATGTAGACCCTGAGAGACAGGACTAACGGCTCAAGAAACTGGGCTCCTGCCACTCATATGGGAGATCTGGATTGAGCTCCCAGCTCTAGGTTATGAACTAGCTCAGCTTTAGCCTTCACAGCCATCTGGGGAGTGAACCAGTCAGTGAGGGCTCGCTCTGTGCATCTCTCTGCCTCTCAAATAAATAACATGATTTGCCTGAAGAATGAATTTTAACAACTGTAATGGATATAAATACATTAGAGTCCCAAGCACTGATTGTAAATGTTAATTGTCTTATCTAAATACATCAAGAAGGAAAAATTAGTGCAAAATAAACATATTAAAAAAATCTGGGGGCCGGTGCCATGGCACAGTAGGTTAATCCTCCACCTGCAGCACCAGCATCCCATATGGGCACCGGTTCTAGTCCCGGCCACCCCTCTTCAAATCCAGCTCTCTGCTATGGCCTGGGAAAGCAGTAGAAGATGGCCCAAGTCCTTGGGTCCCTGCACCTGCATGGGAGACCAGGAAGAGGCACATGGCTCCTGGCTTCAGATCAGCACAGCTCTGGCCGTTGCAGCCACCTGGGGAGTGAATCAATGGAAGGAAGACCTTTCTCTCTGTTTCTCCCTCTCACTATCAGTAACTCTACCTCGTAAATGAATAAATAAAATCTTAAAAAAAAAAAAAAAAAGAAAATTAGTCTAGAAAGTTTCAGAATTATAGCAAACCAGATTACTAAAAGCCCACTGTAGTGGCCGGCGCCGCGGCTCACTAGGCTAATCCTCCGCCTTGTGGCACTGGCACACCGGGTTCTAGTCCTGGTCGGGGTGCCAGATTCTGTCCCGGTTGCCCCTCTTCCAGGCCAGCTCTCTGCTGTGGCCAGGGAGTGCAGTGGAGGATGGCCCAAGTGCTTGGGTCCTGCACCCCATGGGAGACCAGGATAAGTTCCTGGCTCCTGCCATCGGATCAGCGCGGTGCACTGGCCGCAGCGCACTGGCTGTGGCGGCCATTGGAGTGTGAACCAACGGCAAAGGAAGACCTTTCTCTCTGTCTCTCTCTCTCTCTCACTGTCCACTCTGCCTGTCCAAAAAAAAAAAAAGCCCACTGTAGTACAAAATGGTACGCAGATGACAACTTAAAGATCAGCTTGAAGAGATGCAGGCAGAGATGAACAGAGATGACTAAAACAGGCCACCAAATGCTTCAGAGAGCACGGGAGGGAAACCGGGCAGGGCAGCTCTGCACTGTATCCCCAGAAAACACCTACAAAGTGCAACTCCCTGAAGGCTCTGCTCGGAACCACAGGCTCTGAGCTGCACCGGGTGAACGGAACTCTCCAAGGACCAGCTCTTTAAGAAACAGTTCTAAGGATCCTGAGGACCTGAAGTGACACCCTGACAGGAGGGACTCCATTTCAGAGCACCTGTGACTCCTTCTTGCGAAAGCATCCCTGACCGTGAGACTCTGGTCTGAAACTGACCTACAGCACTCAGACAGCAGCACCCCACCACAGCACACGTGGCAAAGCACAGAAATCCCCAGTGTGATCGCTCAAGCTTGGAAACAGATACGCTGCAGCAGGGTTAACAAGAGTGGAATCCATGTCCCACATATGATATAGGCCAATACCTGGATTAATGTCACGATTATAATTGAAATGGTTAAGATTGTAACTGGTCTTGTTAAGATTATAATTGATGGTAGTTTCGCATAGGATTTAGGTTAGCTTGACCCCAGTAACAATGTATTTCCCCCTGATCCTAGCAACCATGTATTCCCCTCCCGATTCTGTGTTTTTTGTCTTTATAAACCCTGTTGCTGGCCGGCTCTGTGGCTCACTTGGCTAATCCTCCACCTGTGGGGCTGGCACCCCGGGTTCTAGTCCCAGTGGCTGCTCTTCCAGTCCAGCTCTCTGCTGTGGCCCAGGAGGGCAGCGGAGGGTGGTCCAGGTCCTTGGGTCCCTGCACCTGCTCCTGGCTTCGGATCAGCGCAGTACCAGCCGTGGCGGCCATTAGGGGAGTGAACCAATGGAAGGAAGACCTTTCTCTCTGTCTCTCTCTCACTGTCTATAACTCTGTCTCTCTCTCACTGTCTAACTCTGCCTGGCAAAAAAACAACGTTGCTTTGAGCTTCAGGGTCGAGAGTTCTTCAGGGCACGAGCCTGCTTTCCACCGCTGGAAATAAAGGACCAGCAATTTTATCAATCTCTGGTGCTCCTGGGTTTGCGCTCGCTCAGGTACAACAGACTCTCTAGGAGTTACTGGCTTATAAATTCAAGCATTTGGGGGCTGGCATGTGGCCTACTGGGTTAAGCCTGCCTGTGGGCCAGCATCCCATATGGGCACAGTTCGTGTCCCAGCTGCTCCTCTTCTGATCCAGTTCTCTGCTTATGGCCTGGGAAATCAATGGAAGACAGCCCAGGTGCTTGGGCTCCTGCACCCACGTGGGAGACCCAGAAGAAGCTCCTGGTTCCTGGCTTGGGATCCACTCAGCTCTGGCTGCCGCAGACATCTGGGAAGTGAACTGGCAGTTGGAAGACCTCTCTCTCTCTGTCTCTCCCTCTCTCTGTAACTCTGCCTTTCAAATAGATACATAAATCTTTTTAAAAAATTAATTAAAACATTTGGTTTTTATATGAAAGCTAGTAAAAGGAAAAAAGTCAAACCAACAAAGAACTTCTGAATAAAGATGAGAACAGATGTTAAAAGAAGCTCCAGCACCGAGGAAGTACAAGGTAGTAAGAACAGTGAGGGCTCTGGGACCACACTGCCCGGACCTGAACCCTCAGGCACCTACTTTAACCCTGGTAAGCGTCAGTGTCTTTTCCTTTAAAGCAGGAATAATACACTCATCTTGTAGGATTATCATGAGAATTAGAACACATACTCCATATTAAGCTGCAAAGTAAGCCCTTAATAAATGTCACTTTTCATTTCATTTAAGTAAGTTCAAAATATTTTAACTGTCTATATAAAAGATATTATTGCCATTGGTAAACCACAATCTATTCTTTTTTTTTTTCTCTCCAAAGAAACCTTTATTTAATGAGTACAAATTTTATAAGTGCAACTTTAGAGCCGGCGCCGCGGCTCACTAGGCTAATCCTCCGCCTTGTGGCGCCGGCACACCAGGTTCTAGTCCCGGTCGGGGCGCCGGATTCTGTCCCGGTTGCCCCTCTTCCAGGCCAGCTCTCTGCTGTGGCCAGGGAGTGCAGTGGAGGATGGCCCAAGTGCTTGGGCCCTGCACCCCATGGGAGACCAGGAGAAGTACCTGGCTCCTGCCTTTGGATCAGCGCAGTACGCCGGCCGCGGCGGCCATTGAAGGGTGAACCAACGGCAAAGGAAGATCTTTCTCTCTGTCTCTCACTGTCCACTCTGCCTGTCAAAAAATAAATAAATAAAAAAATAAAAAAAAGTGCAACTTTAGGAATATAGTGAGTGTTCCCAACATAACCGCCTCCCATCCTACCTCCTCCTCTCTCTCCCATTCCCAGTCCCATTCTCCATTAAGATTCATTTTCAAATCACTTTATACACAAAAGACCAACTTTATACTAAGATTTCAACAATTTGTGCACACAAACACACACACACACAAGTTTTACACTAAATTCTCACAGTACAACTCCTTGAGGACAGATGGCCTGCATGGGAAGTAAGTGCGCAGAGACTCCTGTTGTTAATTAACACTGTTATGTATGACATCAGGGATCACCCGAGGCTCTTGACATAAGCTGTCACGACTATGGAAGCCTTTTGAATCCACAAACTCTGTCAGTATTTAGATAAAACCATAAGCAAAGTCAAAGTTCTCTCCTGCCTTCAGAGAAAAGTATATCCTTCTCTGATGGCCACTTCTTTCTGCCAGGTTCTCACTCACAGAGATCCTTCATGTAGGACATTTTTTTGTCAGTTCCATGCCTGAAATGCTCTCATGGGCTTTTCAGCCAGACCAGAATGCCTTAAGGGCTGATTCTGAGGTCAGAGTGCTATGTAAAGCGACTATCATTCTATGAGTCTGCTGTGTAGACTGCTTCCCATGTTGGAACACACAACCTGTTCTTAAAAAGAAAAAGGGTTTATTTATTTCAAAGACGAAGTGTCAAAGAGAGACGGGGAGAGCTTCCATCAACTGGCTCACTCCCCAAATGGCTGCAACAGCCAGGGCTGTGCCAGGCCAGAGCCAGGAGCCAGGAACTCCACATGGGTGGCAGTGGCCCAAACACTCGGACCATCTTCCTCTGCATTACCAGGAGCATTAGCAGGGAGCCGGAGTGGAACTGAACTTAAACCAGAACTCTGATACAGGATGCCAGTGTCTCAAGCAGAGGCTTAACCCACTGCACCACAACACAGGTCACAGGCACACATTCTAACCGCCAAAGCCACAGGTACCTCTCTTTAAGTCGCAGCTCATCATTCATTCTGCTCAGCTGGGAAGAATTATCTCCTGACATCTTCATTATCTCTGCAATGTCGTTTTCCAATTTTTCTTTTGCCTTGACCAACTGCTCCTCTCTTTCATCTCTCTCTCTGAATTTTGCCTCCATATCTGAATACAAATAGAAAAACAAGTAGCACTGCTGTGTTATAATTGACATAAGTAAACTGAATACATCCTTGCTCTGAGAACATCTGCATAAAAATCACACGCTAGCAAAGAAGACGAACAATCAATGAGATAAAGAAAAGAAGCGGTAAGATAGAGAGTGGTGAGGGCAAGAGCTGGGAGGTTAAAATCTGAGATGGTTACATGGCAGAGAAGACTGAAGGGGGCAAAGGCACGGGGGCAGGGAGACGCTGGACGCGTCCCAGCGCCACCATGGAGTGCACGAGCAAGGAGGGGAGGCTGAGAGGAAACCAGGAGGTAGGGGGCCTGACCGTGGCAGGAACACGGCTCTGACTGAGGGGGGTGGGGGCCCCCGGGCAAGCCGGGGCAGAGAAGAGACAGGTCTGACTTCACTCCAGCTGCCGTGCTGAGAACAGACGGGAGCAGGACAAGGGCAGAAGCAGGGTCGGCAGTGAGCTGTTATGGATGGCTGTGGCCTTGGCTCAAGGACAGCAATGGGAATGGGGAGACTGGCTGAATTCTCTTTGGAAACAGAGTAGAGACCTTGTGGAAGGCTACATGTCTCAGACAAGCATTTCGTCACATTATACCACCACGAAGAGTGAGCAGGCTATGCCTGAACAGTGGGTGTGTAGTGCTAGACTACAGTGATCTCAAACCCTGGGAAGGCTACCACACACTCAACGCTTAGCGCCAGCGCCACCTCCTTACCTGTTAAATTCTCTCTCAGCCTCTCCAGTTCAGAAGACAGCAGGTTAAATTGTTCCTCCTTTTGGTGTAACTTATTGACAGTTTCTATTGAGGATAAAAAGTTTAATATATTTCATGATTAATAAGCCATCTGGTCTTGGCTGTCTTACAAAACTAAATCATACACTTGTGAGAGCTGAGAATACAGAAATACAGAAGTCCCACTGCAAACCACGTCACTCACTGTCCGTGATCCTAAGGACCCAGCATTCAGCCCCTTTGCCTCACCCCTTTGCACTCAGCTCTTTCCTCTTGTCAGTGAAAACTCAAGAAAGTTATCAATGATGAAAGTTTAAGTGGCTGCCATCGTGGAACAGTGGGTTAAGCCACTGTTTATGACACCGACATCCCCTATCAGAGGGTGGGTTTGAGTCCCAGCCGCTCTCTTTCAAATTCAGATCCCTGCTAACATGCCTGGGAAGGCAGCAGGTGGATGACCCAAGTGCTTGGGCTCCTGACACCCACACAGGAGACCTGGAAGAAGTTCCTGGCTCCTGGCTCCAGCCTGCATCAGATGTGGCTATGGTGGCTATTTGGGAAATGAACCAGCAGAAGGAAGAGATCTCTCTGTTTCAAAGAAATAAAATAAACCTTAAAGTCAAAACACTTCCCCTAAGAACACTGACATTTTAATATGGAACAAGCCTTAAGTGAAAAGAAGAAAGAATCAGCTGGGGGGTCTGAGGCTTCAGGAAGCCAGTTCCTGCGCACGGCAGGGACCTGGGGGACCCTGGGATAGGACTGCAGGCAGCATCCGCTCCGTGCGGGCAAGGCCAAGCCCAGCCTGACGCGCTCACGCTCGCCCCCCGCAGGACGCACCTTGCATACTTCTCTGAACAGAGACCGCCTCCTCGGAAGCATCAGCAAACTTTTCTTTCTGAAGAGAAAGGAACGGACACTCAGAAAGACCTCAAGGGAGGCAGTGATCAGTCACAGCCACAGTTCTGTCTGCATTCCGCTGTGGTTTTGTCTCACTGAAGTAACAAACGTGGGGGCCGGCGCTGGGGCGGAGCAGGTAAAGCCACCGCTCGCAGTGTCCCAGTGTCAGCATCCCACACGGGCGCCAGTTCGAGTCCCAGCTGCTCCGCTTCTGATGCAGCTCTCTGCCGTGGCCTGGGAAAGCAGTGGAGGATGACCCACGTGCTTGGGCCCCTGCACCCACGTGGGGGACCTGGAAGAAGCTCCTGGCTCCTGCCTTCGGATCAGCTCTGCTCCAGCTGTTGCAGCCATCTGGGGAGTGAACCAGTGGATGGAAGACCTCTCTCTCTCTCTCTGTCCCCTCCTCTCCCCCCACTTCTGCCTCTCTGCAGCTCTGCCTTTCAAATAAATAAATAAATCTTAAAAAACAACTGTAGGCCACAATTCTACCACATGTCTACCCTGCACATGTGTGCACATACATGCCAGTGACGCTATCTGTGCGCGTGAATGAATGTGCACACTTATGTACGTGTATGGCTGTGCGTGTGCACTTGGCGCATAGCACACTCTGTAATACGGTCACTCTCAGAGAGCAAACCTTCTTGTCAGAAACCTGCCCGAAAGAGCAGAGAGCTCCAAATGTGCTCACTTCTGGAGCAGACTGGGTCGGGGTCAAGGCCAGCTGCTGTTTCACAGCAAGAGGTCCACTGCTCCACGGCTGATCAAGGTCTTGCTTCCTAAACACGACAGCAGACAAGGCAGAAACACTCTCCCGGCGTCCTGAGATGAGTCTGGAGCTAGCCACACCACGAGGGTTTGTAGCGAGTATTTCTGGGGGCCGGCATTGCGGCACAGTGGGTTAATCTGCTGCCTGTGATGCTGGCACCCCCAGAGAGCACCAGTTTGAGTCCCAGCTGCTCCACTTCCAATCCTGCTTCCTGCTAATGTGCCTGGGAAAGCGGCGAAAGACCGCCCACGTGGGAGACCCAGATGGAGTTCCAGGTTCCCGGCTTCATCCTGGCCCAGCCCCAGCTCTTGAGGCCATCTGGGGAGTAAACCAATGGGTGGGAGATCTCTCTCTCTCTCTCTCCCCCCAACTCTGCCTTTCAAATAAATAAGTCTCTTAAAAAAATTGAGTGTTTCTAACTTATGGTGTTTATACAAAGACGGCACTGGAGCCGCACGTCCGTCGGTGCACACAGACTGCTCCGCTGTGCCCTTCCCGCAGCTGGACGCTCGAGCTGTGTGCTCTCTGATGAGGTCAGAGAGGAGAGGACCGAAACTCACTTTAAAGAAAGGCTGGGCATCCTAGACACTTAGGGAGGAGGGCAGAGAAACGACACGAGCCTAAAAACATTTTCTTATGGGAAATCAAACGGTGATTCTCAGGGCGCTTTCTTAAAATGTAGCTAAGATATTACACGTGGGACCGCCCCGTAGAACTTTGTGCACTGGTGGACACGCCCTCCATGCACGCGTGGCTACTGAGCACTTACCACGCAGCAGGAACTGAATCTACACCTGACTTAACTCAGCTCAATCCACACAGCTACAGGTGGGTGGCAGTTAGACACCCACCACAGAAAAAGGACAAGTTTGTATTGCCACAGCCAGACAACAGAGCCACATACTTCCATTCCCCGTCGTTATCAGCACACTGGTGTGAGAAACGGGCCCAGGAGGACAGGGCCCAGGAGGACAGGGCCCTGGAGGACAGGGCCCAGGGTCTCCACAGCCCTGACCTTCCTCTGCCGGGATGCATGAGGGCCACTGCTGCTGTTCGCTAGGCTCGGCCATGATGCAAGAGGCAAGGTAGAAAAGAAGCAAACCCAGAAGAGGTCAGGAAAAAGTACGTCTAGCTTGAGATTCGGGAAAAGGACACACGTGAAAGGAAAAGTAGTTTCATGAGATGGAATAAACTGAGTCATAGAAAGCGTGTGTTTTTTTAATTCGTTCAATTAGGCAGCACCCGGCCCCGCCAGCAGAGGGCGCTGATGGTCCCGGCCGGCCTGGTAAAGACAGGGAAGGCCTCCCTGTGCGGTGAAAGCAAGCAGTCGGGAACATACCAGAGAAGAGCTTAAAAATTAACAGATAAAAAGGTAACACCTACCTTTGTGGCTAGTTTGGGTTTTGGTCGGCCTCCTGTCCAGGTCATTACTAGCCAATAACTAACAGTCAATTTAAATAGCATTGTCAAAGAGAAAGAAAATGGCTGCAGTAATGGTTTGTTTCAACGGAGAATTTTTTTTCTAACCGAAAGCAGCCAGCCACCTTGCAGTACTCACCAAGACCCGCAGTTCCGTCTCCAGAGCCTCTTTCACTCGACTGACTCCACTCAAGTTTTCCTCGAGTGTAGTAAGCTTTAGCTCCTTCTCCTGGAGCTCTCTGGCAATGCCACTAGCCTAACACACAGTCACATGGCACAGGAGCAAATGAACAAAAAGGAAACAAAAAGGAATGAGAAAAAATAAAATAGAACAAATGTGATAAACTTAGGAGAACAAATACAACACAACAAAGCTGGGAGGAATAAAAAGTTGGGTTTTTTAATCCAAAGAAGTCAAGGACTTTTCAATCAGTTCCGGTTAGGATTGTCCCAGGGCTGCTGCTTTCTCCACCTGTTGTGGAATCAGAGCAGGGAGCGCACAAGCGGACAAGCCCCTGCTCAGCCTCATCTTCTGGACTTTCAAATCTTAAACACAGGAGTGGACATGTGATCTCCATTGTTTCCCTGTATTTCTGGACATGCTTCAAGGGGCTCAACATTTAAAATAAAATTTTAAAAACCACTAGGCGATAGTCACAAGAATTTGGCTTTCGTTAAATATTGAGGTGAGAACAGGTAGTCGGTTTGTGCCCTGACTGGCATGCTGGACCCACATGAGGAGATCTGAGGAAAACGCGCTGTGGCCAGTCTGCCACCGCCAGCCATGGCCTCCCGGCAGTCTCTGCCATCGGTCTGCCTCCCTGCTCCCCGGTGAACCATCACAACCCTTCCTTCTTTGCCACTAGGGCAGCTTCTCCCGCAGAAAGCTCCAGAACCTTCATCATCAAGTCAGCACTCAACTAGTGACAGAACCAGAAACAACCCTTGACGATGAGGACGACATCGGACAAGGCTGTTTGCGAGAAACGGGGCTGCTGGGTGTTTCACATGGTTTCCTATGCCTCGACCAAAAGCACACCTGTCCAGTCTTTTCTCAGAACAGCCAGACTTGGGCCAGCACAGTAGCACAGTGGGTAAAGCCACTGCCTGCCACGCCAGCACCCCATATGGGCACCGGTTCAAATCTTGGCTGCTCCACGTCCAAACCAGCCCCCTGCTAATGAGCCTGGGAAAGCAGTGTAAGATGGCCTGACTGCTTGGGTCCCTGCACCCACATCGAAGACCTAGAAGAGGCTCCTGGCTCCTGGCTTTGGGTCAGCCTAGCTCTGGCCATTGCAGCCATTTGGGGAGTGAACCAGCAGATGGAAGATCTTTATCTCTCTTTCTAACTCTGCCTTTCAAATAAATTTTTATGGTGCCTTTTCTTTTTTAAAGATTTATTTATTTATTTGAAAGAGTTACACAGAGAGAGGAGTTACACAGTGGATAGAAAACCTCAGAGAGAGAGAGAGGTCTTCTATCCACTGGTTCACTCCCCAGATGGCCATAACGGCTGGAGCTGAGCCAATGCAAAGCCAGGAGCCAGGAGCTTCTTCCGGGTCTCCCATGTGGGTACAGGGGCCCAAGGACTTAAGTCATCTTCTACTGCTTTCTTAGGCCACAGCAGAGAGCTGAATCAGAAGTGGAGCAGCCAGGTCTAGAACCAGTGCCCATATGGGATGCCAGCACTGCAGGTAGCGACTTTACCTGGTATTGCCACAGTGCCAGCCCCTCAAATAAATTTTTAAACAAAACAAGAAATAGCCAGACTTAGAGCATGTTCTTGTGACACAGAAAAGATTCCCATAAAATCTTAGAGGCAATGCAAAGGGCTGCGGGCTCTCAGCCTTCCTATGGGGGAACGTTGTTTATCATAGCACATTCATTCATCAAGTCAGAGCACTCCGTTCACGTTCTGCTTTTCTATGGAACCCTACCGACAGGTGGGAAAGGAGAAGACTGTAACCTCTGCCCTCTGTGGGTGATCCTCTGCCTGGCTGGGAGACTGCCTGCCTAGCCCATGCAGGAGGTTAGGAGGGCACGGCACATGCCCCCCGGAAAAAACCTGGTCGAGGGCTCAGCACACTGGGACCCCCACACACGACCTGGCTTCTGGCACACAGCAGGGACCCCAGGCACATTTCCCCCACCCCCACTTCCTGTTGTAGGCCTTGTAACTGTCAACTAGGTAACCGGCTCCAGACCCATAAAGACCATCTGGAATGCTAAGTAGGCTACGTGACCTTCAAGCTGATTGGAGAAGGGCGGAGGCACCAGTATCTGCTTTATCCTGTAGAATTAGTGTCCCTCCCCTGAGCCAGCTACTCCCCCTTGCCTGCCCTATAAAAGCTTGTGCCCGAATGTTACTGAACAGACATGTTCACCAAAACCGACTCTGGCACTTCTTCTCCAAGAACACAGTCGCCCCACCATCCCGACAGCGTGGGCCTCACAGGACGAGCCCACACCCCTGCTCTTTCTTCATTTATCTGAACACCAGCGTGCTGGGGAATTCTCTATTTTAAACAGAGGTTACAGCCCAGAGCTAAGTTTACACAGCATAGCCCAGTGACAAAGTGACAGATCAAAGGAAACCAAAATAAACGCCCATGTTTGGGCCACGATTTCCTCTAATCTCCTCAGGTGGAGCCAAGCTCAAGATTCTCAGATGTTACCCGGGAGCACCGGGCACTTCCTTTACTTCCTTCTGATTAAATAGGGAATGAGGAGGATGGGTCACCTCAACTCAAGAGGAACACATAACGCGACATGATAACGGTGGAGGGAAAGACAAAAGATGGAAGCTGTGGATACAAACCTTGCCGCTCTCAGCATCCTTTTCAATCTCTAAATTTTTAATCTGTTTCTCAGCTGCCTCGAGCTGCTGTCTGAGCTGCTGGATTTCCGATTTACCTTCGGAACTGGCCTTCCGAAGGGCATCAAGATCCAAGAGCTTCTCTTCGGTCGCCTTGAGCTGCGATGCAAAGTTATCGATAACCTCGGTCTGCTCGCTGCATCTGGCTCGCAGCGCCTCTAGCTCCTTTACCTTTGTCTCAGCCTCCTGCAGTCTGTTCAGCGTGTCCTCCATCTCCACCAGATGCTGGTCCTCCGCTCTGTCCAGCTTCGACTTGAGGGCCTCCAGACTGTCCTCCTTCTCCTTGATGACCTTCAGCAGTTTGGCCCTCAGGGCGTCGACCTCCTTGGCGTGGGCAGAGCGCTCAGAGTCCTGCTGGCTCTGCAGGCGTTCTATCTCGTGCTGGTAATCCAGCCTCACTTTCTCTATCTGCGCCTTCAGCTCCGCAAACTCGGCCGACTCGGTCCCCAGCCCTTTGGTGAAGGACACCTTCAGCTCCGCCATGGCCTGCTGGTGGGACGCGATGGCCGTCTCCAGCTTGGACTTCCACAGCGCGATCACGTCCGCGTTCTCCTTGTTGGCGTGGTCAAGCTTGCTTTTCAAGGACTCGTTCTCCTTGGAAAGCTTCTCCGTGGCGGCCTGCAGGCCCCTGATGTCCCTCTGCAACGCTTCTTCCTGGGTTCCGAAGTGCTCCTTCAGGGAAGCCACTTCTCTCTGGTGCTCGGCCTGCGCGGCTGCCAGCTTCTCTTGCAAAGAGCTTATCTCTTGCAAAAGGGAAAGCGACACGTCCACATCCGCAGAGGGCTTACTGCACTCCAGCCTCCTCCGCAGCTCTGCCACTTCCTGTGCCCTCAACGCTAGGTCCTTCTCTAGCTCCATTATCCGGGACTTTTCTGACACCGTGGCCACCTAGTGACAGCAGTCCAAAGAAAAAGAGATCACTTACGTAGCACATCACTGATGAGCTTCCTTTCCTGAACCCTGGAGGCCTGCAACTCCCCCGCATCCCGCGGCACTCAAGCTCTCGGGAAGGTTCACAAGCCAAGATGTCTCCAACTCTGACCACCAGGGAAGCCCAGTTCTGGCAGCTCCAACTCAGAGCTGTCATCTTTGGTAAACTTCCACCCTTTTGAGATGCTAAAGCAATGTAAAACTGACATTGAGTTTAGCTCACTCCAAATTTACTTTTTTTCCCTAAAGACACAGATCAAGGAAGTACCCATTACCCGATCGTAAGTCATCCCAGAGCTCTCAGCCCTATCTGCCGGTTTTCCCCACTGCGCCTCGCCCTGGCTGCATGCCAGCTGAGCTAACTTCTGGGGGGCCTCCCAGAACTGTGTGTGCGGGACAGCCCTGTGCGGCACCTGAGCTCTGAGGGACGTGCTGGAAGCACACAATACACATCACATTTTGAAGACTTGGGGAAGAGAAGAGCTTACGGTGTCTGGCTAATAATTGTTTTTAGAGTGATTACACGGTGAAGTGATAATACTTTGTGTAGTGTTTTAAGTATATTAGTAAACTTAATTTCACCTGTAACTTACTAAAAAGTTAAGTGAGTACCAGAAAACTGCAAATCGCACATGTGTGGCCCGCATCATACGACTCTTGAATAGTACTGGTACACAAGGTCTAAAATTACCCATCGAACGTTTCAATGAACAACATATCACCTGTAGAATAAAAAACCTTCGACTGGACAATGAAGAATTACTTTACTAACCTTTCCTCTTAAAGACAAAGAAAGATAATTACTTACCTGAAGTTACAGGTAAGACTCTTACAAAGAGCCCTCTTTTGGACTTTACAGTTCTATCAGCACTGTGATGTCCGCATCGCGTTCCCTAACCCAGTGGTTCTCAGGTGCCACTACTATGCACATGAATCACCTGGAATGTGAGTCTGCCCTCAACTTCCCAGCTGCCCACACTCATTTTGATTCCATCTGAGCTCCGGGGTTTGAAAAATAAACATCCCAGGGCTAGGAAAAACACTTTCTCAACCTGCACCTTTTAGTCTTAAAGAATCAGCTCTGACTACCACCTGTCAAACAGTTTAGTCCAGCAAGTACGTGGAAAATGGCTTCTTCAGGTATAAAAATCATTTGACTAACCTGGGAAATAGAAGGGAACATGAATCATTTTTAAAACATCAATGAGCCCCATATTTCAAGCATCAAAACTCCAAATTTAAGACCCCTCTCCCACCTTGCCTTCATCGGAACAAAAGTAACAAATGTGTTCCTTTCATTTCTTCTGCCCACCTACAAGTTGTGATTCCAGTAAAAATCCACACGGGAAGAGGGAGAGGAAACACTTAGGTTTCCGAAGCAGCAGAATCAAGTCATCAAACAATGAAGGGCTGACTCTAATTGCTGCCCTCTGTGGTTCTACAAGGACAGAGTTTGTGGAAAACTGAATTAAAAGATGGCTTTAGGGTAGGCGTCTGGTGCAGCTATCAGCATGGTGCTTCACCTACATTTCATGTCAAAGAGCCTGGATTTGAGTCCTGACTTCCCACCAGCACACAGTCTGGGAGGCAGCAGTGACGGCCCAAGTGCCTGGGTCCCTACCACCTACCTGGGAGACTTGGATTGAGTTCCAGGCTCCTGACTTCAGCCTGACCCAGATCTGTTGCAGGTATTTGGGGAGTGAACCAGTGGATGGGGTTCTTTCTTTTCTGCCTTTCAAAAATATTGAAATCCATTTTTTTAAAAACATTTTTTAAAAAAAAACCTATTTAAGGGGCTGGCACTGTGGCATAGCAGGTAAAGCCGCCACCTGCAATGCCAGCACCCCATATAGGCGCTGGTTCTAGTCCCAGCTGCTCCTCTTCCAATCCAGCTCTCTGCTGTGGCCTGGGAAAGCAGTAGAAGATGGCCCAAGTCCTTGGGGCCCTGCACCTGCGTGGGAGACCGGGAAGAATCTCCTGGCTTCAGACTGGCACAGCTCCGGCTATTGTAGCCAATTAGGGAGTGAACTAGCAGATGGAAGACCTCTCTCTCTCTCTCTCTCTCTCTATTTATATATATATATACACACACGGCTCTCCTTCTCTCTCTGTGTAACTCTGTCTTTCAAATAAATAAATAAATCTTTAAAAAAAAAAACTTATTTGAAAAGCAGAGAGATGGAAAATCTTCCATTTGCTGGTTCACTCCCCCCAAATGCCTGTACAGTCAAGGCTGAGCGAGGCCAACGTCAGGACTGCATCCCGGTTACCCACACGGTACTAAGGTCTCCAGGACTTGCGCCGTCCTCCGCTGCCTCCCAAGATATGCATTAGGAAGCTGAATCGGAAGCTGAGTAGCCAGGACTTGAACCAGCACTCCAAAATCAATGCCTCAAGCCGTGGCTGAATTCACTGTGCCACACACCCATCGCAGTATTGTTTTGCTTTTTTAACTAATTTTTTGAGAGGCAGAATTACAGAGGGGGAGGAAGAGAGGGGAGGAAGTGGATAGAGAGAGATTTTCCATCCACTGGTTCACTCCCCAGATAGCTGCACTGGCTAAAGCCGGGCCAGGCTGAAACCAGGAGACCAGAATTCCCTGAGTCTCCCACATGGGTGGTGGGGCTCAAGCACTAGGGCCCCCACTGCCTTCCCAGGTGGCATTAGCAGAAAGCGAGATCAAAGGGCTGGCACTGTGGCGTAGCGGGTAAAGCTGACGCCTGCAGTGCCAGCATCCCATGTGGGATGCCAGTTCAAGTCCCGGCTGCTCCTCTTCCAATCGAGTTCTCTGCTAATGCACCTGGGAAAGCAGTGGAAGATGGCTCAAGTCCTTGGGCCCCTGCACCCGTGTGGGAGACTGGGAGAATCTCCTGGCTCCAGGCTTCGAATCAGCGCAGCTCTGGCCACTGTAGCCATCTGGGGAGTGAACCAGCTGATGCAAGACCTCTCTCTCTCTCTCTCTCTCTCTCTCTCTCTCTCTCTCTCTCTCTCTGCTTCTCTGTAACTCTGCCTTTCAAATATATAAATTAATCTTAAAAAAAAAAAAAAGTGGAGCAGCTGGGACTGGAACAGGCACTCATAAAGGACGCCAGGGTTGCAGGAAGTATCTTATCCCACTGTACCACAACACCTGCTCCAAGCTTGTTCATAATATGCATCTTCCATGATTTTTTTTGAAGATCTAGTCATTAGCACCGATTTTCAAAATTTTTGCATTGGGGCCGGCACTGTGGCGCAGTGGGTTAACGTCCTGGCCTGAAGCACCGGCATCCCATATGGGTGCCAGTTCTAGTCCCGGCTGCTCCACTTCTGATCCAGCTCTCTGCTGTGGCCTGAGAAAGCAGTGGAAGATGGCCCAAGTCCTTGGGCCCCTGCTCCCGCGTGGGAGACCCAGAAAAAGCTCTGGCTCCTGGCTTCGGGTCGACACAATTCCAGCTGTTGTGGCCAATTGGGGAGTAAACCGTTGGATGGAAGACCTCTCTCTCTCTGCCTCTCCTCTCTCTATGTAACTCTGACTCTCAAGTGAAAAATAAATCTTTAAAAAAATTTTTTTTTCTTTTTCTTTTTCATTTTTTTTACAGGCAGAGTGGACAGTGAGAGAGAGAGACAGAGAGAAAGGTCTTCCTTTTGCTGTTGGTTCACCCTCAATGGCCACCGCGCCTGGCGCACTGCGGCCCGTGCATCGTGCTGATCCGAAGGCAGGAGCCAGGTGCTTCTCCTGGTCTCCCATGGGGTGCAGGGCCCAAGCACTTGGGCCATCCTCCACTGCACTCCCGGGCCACAGCAGAGAGCTGGCCTGGAAGAGGGGCAACCGGGACAGAATCCGGCGCCCCGACCAGGACTAGAACCCGGTGTGCCAGCGCCGCAAGGCGGAGGATTAGCCTAGTGAGCCGCGGCGCCAGCCTGCATTAACTTTTAATTCTGTTTTCCACAAACTTTTTGAAGCACCCTTGTCGTTCTTAGCCACAAAGCAGTTAAATGCAGAAGATGTCATATAAAAAAGTGAAAAGAATAATGTGATTATTCTTTTTATGTCATTTTCATAAAGAAGAAAAGCATTTCCATTTGTTATTTTACTTCCCAAAGTCTGTCCACCCACAGACTAACCTTCCCATGTGTCTGCCTCTCCCACTAGTCCGAGGCCAGGCCAGGCAGGAGTCACTTCTTACTCCCAGCTAATGCTGCCACAGCACTGGGCACACCTGGTGACGCCCTGCGGTTACGGGGTGGACCGCCTGAAGGGAACTGTAAAGCGCTTCCTAGGAGGGACGTGGGTGATACCAAACTACGTGGGTTGCTGGTTGTTTCCACACTTGACATAACAAGAGTGGGGACCAAGACACACACACACGAGTCGAGGGAAGACAGCAGCTCTCCTCTGCAGGGCTGGGACACCCCTGCTGGGAACGCTGGCCTTGTATCCAGAGCAGGAAAAAAGTGCCAGAGTTGCTTGCTGACAATATTCAGATACAGGAGAGGGGGTCAAAAGTTTACAAAATACATCCTTCCTTTGTCAACAGGCCTCGGCCCACTTGTCCCTTCTATTTCCCACATCAAGTCTTTGCCTCTTGGGTAACAAAGAAATAGCACCAATTCTCACTTTTTTCCCCCACCAAATATATAGGAGAAACCTTAAGTTTTAAGGCAAACTGAGAACATTCTTTCTTCTTTTAAAAAAAAAAAAAACTCATAATTTAGGGAAGAAAAAGCATTCCATTGTCTAGATTTTTAGATAAGTCAGTCAGTGATCTCTCGCCAAGAGAAACTTCCACAAATATTAATAATTCAAAAGAAAAAATCAAGATCCCAAATTTGATCAGAGACATAGTTTTTCAAATTTTAAAGTTAATATTTGGGCAACTTAGCCAATCACAGTCCTGATTTCACTGTGTGAGCACTTACTCTGCATGCAGATGAGTGATTATGTCTTAAGGCTTTCGGCACAAAAGCCATTTCCATAACGGCTCCACCCGGGGTCGGCGAGTGTCAGCAGCTGGAGCTGCGTGGTGACCTGGGACACGACCTGCCCTCGGAGTCAGCGGGAGCAACACCACCTCCTCCCTGCTCGGGCTGTGCTGAGACTCATCCTTTCAAAACACTCAGTGCTGGGTGGGTGTTGTGGTGCAGCCGGCTGTGGGGGTCCTGGATGCTCCCCTTCCGGCCCAGCTCCCTGCTGATGCAGCCACCCACGAGGGAGACCAGAAAGAAGCTGCAGGCTTCTGGCTCTGGCCTGGTCCAGCCCCAGCCGTTACGGCCATTTGGGGAGTGAACCAGTGGATGGAGGACCTCTCTCTCTAACTCTGCCTTTCAAATAACCAAATCTTGGAAAACAACAACAAAAAGCACTTAGCACAGTGCCTGGCAGGAAATGAAGCACCACTGGCGTCCTGGCCGCACAAGCCGTTCTGATCCCAGCACGCGCCTCCCTCCTCAACACTGAGACTCCTCTTCTGGGTGGAAAGGAGAGAGACGCAGAGAGACCAGCTCCCCAGAAAAAAGAAAACCGAGGTCAAAGTCCTCGGGGTCACCACGTCCTTCTCCCAGGGGCCAGGGAGGACAGCAGGAAAAGATTTCTAAAGCAAAACAATGGTAACAAAAATCATTTAGAAAACCCAGTAGCCAGGAGGAGGAGAACAAGAGGACAATTGACTGCTTGTGGCAAACTGAAGAAAGGTATTTCAAGGAATTAATACAAAGAACCTCAAATTACATGGTTGGGACGGTTCTGATCTTGATTCTGGTTGAGCCAACCATAGGACTAAGTCTTTCCTTTTGACAAAAGGTTTGATAAAAACACATCTGGGCCTCCTGCAAATCTAAGCTCATGAACACCTACAAGGTCCCAAGACCAAATTCAGGTTGAACCACTGGGTCAAGGCTCAGGCCAACTGCAGGGCAGGTCTCCCGAGGTGTCCACCATTCACACGCATGGGGCTGCTCCATGAAATAGCGAAAACCATTACCCTAGTGTCTTCTAACTCCCTCTGGAGTTTGTCAGCTTTGGTCTTTTCAAAGAGCAGGCTCTGTTCAAGCTCCTTAATGCGGGCATGCTCCAGTTTGGTCTGCGTCTGTTAGTGAAAAGGAAGAGGAAGAGAACACCACAGTGCTACCACGACATGCCAGCACGAGAGAGGGGAGCGCAGCATGCAGCTGGGCCGCCGGCACCTTCCGCCAGAGGACGGACAGAGAGGGCGTGGAGGAGGCAGGGGAGGCTACGGACAAGGGTGACGGTGGGCGGGGCACAGGAGCTGTCTGTCGAGAAAGGAGAAATGGAAAACACATGAGGCAAGATGAGGTGTCAGATGCATGCAGCCAAATAGGTTACATTGATAAGTGAAGTTTATCAGCACACATTAGAACAGTTAATGCCCTCTGAGCTGTGGTCTCCCTCCCGCCCAGCAGTCAGTGGCCATTTGAGATTAACGTGTACATGACGGAAGGGAGACCAGCCGCCATCACAGGACAACATTCTGGGCCTCAGAGCATCCCCCACGTCCTGAGTGCAAGTCCACAATCTGACAGGAGCAAGGGTCAAGGGTCAACCCGCAGGACCGGACTCCCGAGCGCAGGGCTGGGGACAGCCCAGCATGCCTTGGCCGAGACAGGAGAGCAGGGTCTGGGGGATTCTCATCTTGTCTCCCAGGGCAAAAAAAAAATGGAGTAAGAATTAAAGGGAAGGTTCGGTCATGATTACCCTGCATGGCCTCCATCTCAGGAGCAGGGTCTCCCCGCGACTGTAAGGCTCTCGTGATTCTTACCCTAAGGTACAGCAGCTTCCATCAGCTCAGATGTTAGAAAGGTGGGAAATGGGGGCCGGCGCTGTGGCACTGTGGGGTAAAGCCCCGGCCTGCAGCGTCAGCAGCCCATATGGGTGCTGCTGATTCCAGTCCTGGCTGCCCCACTTCCGACCCAGCTCTCTGCTTCGGCCTGGGAAGGCAGCAGAAGGCCCAAGTGTTTGAGCTCCCGCACCCACGTGGAAGACCCGGAAGAGGCTCCTGGCTCCTTGCTTCGGATCAGTTCAGCTCTGGCCATTGGAGCTATTTGGGGAGTGAACCAGCGGACGGAAGACCTTTCTCTCTCTCTGGCTCTACCTCTCTCTGCAACTATGTCTTTCAAATAAATAAAATAAATCTTAAAAAAAAAAAAAAGAAAAGAAAAGAAAGGTGGGAAATGGTGACTCAGCACAAAAAGCGCTGTTAGGTCCTGACGTGGTCTCACTGGTGCTGTGTGCTCCCCTCCGCTGTGCAGACATGACTTGATGGAGAACAGGGGAGGCCGGCTCCTTCTAACAGGACCAAGCGCAGCAGCGGAACTGCAACCTTCAATGGTCTGTGCCTCTTTCCCCACCCAACAGGTTAGCACAGTGAGCAGCTGGCAAAACCTAAGGTGGAGCTGCTCTTGGTAGCTGTGGGTCCCTCGTAAAAACTGAGTATCTCAGGGCCGGTGCTGTGGCGTAGCGGGTAGAGCCGCCACCTGCAATCCCAGCATCCCACATGGGCGCCGGTTCGACTCCCGGCTGCTCCACTTCCTATCCAGCTCTCTGCTGTGGCCTGGGAAAGCAGAAGAAGACGACCCAAGTCCTTAGGCCCCTGCACCCGCGTGGGAGACCCAGAAGAAGCTCCTGGCTCCTGGCTTCGGATCGGCCCAGCTCTGGCCATTGCGGCCAATTGGGGAGTGAACCAGGGGACAGAAGACCTCTCTCTCTCTTTCTCTCTGTCTCTCCTTCTCTGTGTAACTCTGCCTTTCAAGTAAAATAAATAAATCTTAAAAAAAATTGAGTATCTTGTGGTTCTCACTGGACCATTACAGACAATGTAAAGATGATAAAGTTGACACAAAGTAGTGCAGAGCTCAAGTAGAAGGTGGGGCAAGACACAACCACCTTCACTCCCCCCAGGGCCTCCTGGGGCCCCTGGTGCATTCAAGAGGTCACTTTTATATATAAACCATCACCGGATACTTACAAATGAACACAAAATAAAAATTTTTTTAAGTTTTTTTTTTTTCAGCTTTTTAAACTCCAGGAAAATAATGAAATAAAATCCAAACCTAATTGTCTGGATAGTCCCTTTGGCCTTCAATTTACCGATTTCCAGGAAAAGAATCACTCCAGATCTGCATCCTCCGGGTCCCAGCCTCGGGAAGTGAAACCAGCAGGAAAAAGCAAAAGGCGACTGCACACCCTCCCTCTCCGCTGAGCTGGGCGTCCTCCGGGCAGAGGTCACTACTCCCAGGTTAAAAACCCAACCCCGGGCGGGCGCAGCAAGGCCTCCTGCGGCGGGCCCGCCCTCCTCTGCACACTGTCCCTTTCTTAGAATACGGCACAGAGTATCCCAAGACGGGGGTCGAAAGGAAAGCGAAGGCTTTGCGGGAAGCGCGCGGGGAGGCGGGAGGGAGGTCCCATGCAGAGTGACACCGCCAGCCAGCCTGGTGCGGGGGCAGCGGAGAGACCCAGACCACTGCAGCAGCTGCGCAGGAAGGAGCCCTTCAGGAGGCCGCTGGAGAAGCCCGGCCTTGAGCTGTCCACTACAGCTGCCAGGAGGCGGGGCCGAGACAAGTCGCCCCTCGCTCTAGTGTCGTCCCCTGGTGGCGGCCACTGGGAAAACCCCTCATCTGTAACTAGACTCTCAAAACACACGGGTGCACTGGTGTGCAGCTGGGTCCCACGGACAGGGCAGCCCTGGAGCAGCCACCGCGGGTGCACGCACTGGCGCGCACCGGCCAGCAGGGGGCGCGCGCGACTGCCGGGTTCTCCCGCTTGGGAAGCTTCGCCCCGGGGTTCCCGCTATGCCGGCACCTTGGTGTTTCCGGCTACAGTCAGCTGCCTGCGCTTTGGGGAAATTCCATCAAAATTAGAAGACACTGAACTGGGGGAAGGCAGCCGGGACCCCAGATTGTTTAAGGTGGGTATTTTTTTTTTTTTGTAAGATTCCTTAAAAGCAAACATTTGCCTATTTGTTCATTAAACAAATGAATTTACAAAGCCTCGTCATTAGATACAGTTTCTTCAGGGAACTAATGTAATTGCTCGGAAAGCCACATGCACAAAAATATTAAGGTCAGAGTATGCAGTTAGTGTTTGAGTGTATCAATAAGCGTTTTAATCTGTAATCAATCTGTGTTAACAAGGGAAATATCCACACAGTTAAGTGCCCTCTTACATTCTCAGGATCTTCAGAAATCTGGCTCTTTTGCTATCAGTAAAAAAATAAAAAAAAATTAACGACAAAAAAGAAATTCAGCTAACGTCCCAAAATGTGTTAGGGCTTCAGGATCACTTTATTTGATTAATTTGAGGTGAGTGTATCAGACAGACTACGCTAGCCCAGCGCTGATGTACTCGGCCCTTCCTACAATGCCACAGCCGTGTTTCACACGAATTAGATGATGACATGGAGCTTCTATGGAGGCTCCGCGTGTTTTTAAATGGATGAGAACAACACAAAAGCCAACTAAAGGAAAGTGACTGGTTATGAAATGAGTGGAGGGGACACCTGTTAAACCGCTAGTGAACCATTGACCTCTGGGCGCTACGTGACTAGAGCCTACACTCTCTGTCGACTGAAGATTTCCAAAGAAATCAGAGTTCCGTTTGCAAAGATGGTGCAAGCGGCTGACAGACCCCAAAATCATAGTAGTAGCAAAAACGTATATTCATTCTGAGAACTGCACAGACTGCAATTTTCACTAAAATATTAAAGAACAAAAAAAATCTGCAAAATTTGAAAAAGCTACACTGTAGATCCAGCAGTGGTATTTAATACAAACACTAACGTGTTTAAGGAAAACCTTTTCTAAAACATGAAGAGGCCATGGACGTAAACAGAAGCTGAAATGTAAACTGCTCTTGTCTGTTAGGCTGGCACTTACTGTTTGTAGAAAATGACCCACTAGAACATTCGTTTATCCCTCTACAGGGTTATAAAGGATCAGCCCTGCCAGCCCGACGAGCTACCTGAGATGAAGCCAAGGGCTTTGTTCTGCAGGATGGTGGTGCGGAATGTCCTCGAAGCTGCCACTTCTCACCATCAGAGAACCACAGCCTCCCTGGGGCTGCGTAACTGCACACGCACTGCCAGATCTATGACTTGACTGACTTCGATTCATGGTTTTGAATTCAGTGATGAAAAAAGAGTAGCAAACACTGGACCCCGCCACAGGCACAGGACACCAGAGCCACAGAGCTGCCAGAGGGGGCCGGGGCTCCTGCCACTCCCGTGGCTGGCTGTTCTGGCCACACCTGTGGGCGGGCACATGACGTCACCCGCGTTTCCCAGCACGGGAACCCACAGGAGCTTGAAGAGGGCTGGAGGAGGGGTTTACCTCGAGATCGCCTTTGGTAATCGATTCTTCTTCAACCCGGAACTGCAGGTCCTCAACCTTCCTGTGGAACAAACCCAAACCGGGCGCTCAGCAGGGAGCTAGACGAAGGCCTCACGCCCACCCCCGGCCCTAAAACAGAGCAGCAACACGCTGGCGCGCTCGGCAAGTGCTGGTGGGAAGAGATGCCTGTGGGCGCAGACCGGCATCGGCAAGCCTCTGCTCTGGGTCTGGAAGTCCCCTGATCACAAACCCAGACAAGACGAGCCGAAAAGGACACGTCTGACCACTCAGGTGGAAAATGGGCTTGCAGGAGCGCGGCTCAGCGGGGGTCTCAGAGTGAGGCTGGCGGGGTCCACGTGCAGCAAGCCCCAGCCCCAGAGCCCCCAGGACCACACCAGCACCTGCTCCAAGGCTCAGGGTGAGGCTGGCGGGCTCCACGTGCAGCAAGCCCCAGCCCCAGAGCCCCCAGGGCCACACCAGCACCTGCTCCAAGGCTCAGGGTGAGGCTGGCGGGCTCCACGTGCAGCAAGCCCCAGCCCCAGAGCCCCCAGGGCCACACCAGCACCTGCTCCAAGTCTCAGGGTGAGGCTGGCGGGCTCCACGTGCAGCAAGCCCCAGCCCCAGAGCCCCCAGGGCCACACCAGCACCTGCTCCAAGTCTGAGCTTGAACGATTTAGGGGGGAACCAATCAGGGATCCTGTTTCTTTGACTCTGAAATTCACATTTGAGAATCTCTGATACTGGGTTTGGGTTTTATGGATGCCATCACAAAATTAGTGAAATAGAAGGATATTCTGGCTGGTGCCACGGCTCACTAGGCTAATCCTCCGCCTTGCGGCGCTGGCACACCGAGTTCTAGTCCCGGTTGGGGTGCCAGATTCTGTCCCGGTTGCCCCTCTTCCAGGCCAGCTCTCTGCTGTGACCAGGGAGTGCAGTGGAGGATGGCCCAATATTAGCACCAGTTCGAGTTCAGGCTGCCCTACTTCTGACCTAGCTCCCTTCTAATGCACCTGGGAAGGCAGTGGAAGACGACCCAAGTATTTGGGCCCCTGATACCCATGCCAGAGACCTGGATGGAGTTTGAGGAGTGAGCCAGTGGACAGAAGATATCTCTCTCTCTCCATGTCTCTATGTAACTCTGCCTTTCAGATATACAAGTAAATCTTTTTTGTTTTTTAAAGATTTTATTTATTTATTTGAGAGGCAGAGTTACAGAGAGAGGGGAGGCAGAGAGAGAGAGAGGTCTCCCACCCGCTGGTTCACTCCCCAGATGGCCGCAACAACCAGAGCTGTGCTGATCCGAAGCTGGGAGGCAGGAGCTTCTTCCCAGTCTCCCATGTGGGTGCAGGGCCCAAGGACTTGGACCACCTTCTACTGCTTTCCCAGGCCACAGCAGAACTGGACTGGAAAAGGAGCAGCCGGGACTAGAACTGGCACCCAACGGGATGCTGGCACTGCAGGCAGAGGAGTAACCTCCTGCGCCATAGCGCCAGCCCCCTGGAGACCCCACATCCTGTATCAGAGGGCCGGGGTGGGGAGGCCAGCTCTGCTTCTCCCTGCAGCTTCCTGCTAACATCCACCCCGGAGGCAGGCGTGACAGCTGAAGGAGCTGGGCCCTTGGCACCCACGTGGGAGACTCAGGTGGAGTTCTCCTCGCTCCTGGCTCTGTCCTGGCCCAGCCCCCGGCTGCTGCGGGCATTTGGGAGTGAATCAGGAGAAGGGAAACAGCGGGAGCTGTTCAGTAAGGCTGAAGAGGAAGGAACAGGTCGGCCTTGCACCAGGGACAGCCTGCATCACCTCTTCTCCTCTTCTAGCTGGTTCAGAAGCTCCACCTTCTCCCTGTCAGCCGCCTCCACCATCGTTCGCAGCTGGTCCATCTTGGCCTCCAATTCCAGGACATGCTGGGGGAGCAAGGATGTCAGTGAGTGGCTGCTTTCTGACCCACACGCAGGCCCAAGAGTACCTCCAAGGAGCTACAGGTGCGTGCTACCGGGGTGGGGCACTGCTCTAAAATCCTTTCTACCTACAGGTTATTCTCGGCGGCTTTCCTGGAAGCAAGATGACGAAAAACCACACCACTGAAGCCATCGAGGGCAGTGTGGAAACAACTCTCACCTTCTCTGCAGGTGAAACACACACGACAAATAACCTGCACCCAGGAGCCCAGTGAACCAGCTGGCCTGACACGGACAGGCCCGAGACCCGGCCCTCAGCATCCAGAGACTGGGGTGGGGTCGAACAGAACGAAACTTCATCTTTGTGACCTGGCACCCAGGTCCCAGCTTTCAAACAAGCCCAGCCAAGACGTCTACACCCATTTCCTGCGCGTGGCTCCGAGAGCCAGGGATGCCTTCGGCCTCCTCACTCCACCTAGACACCGTCACCATCTCCGCACCGAGGTCGGCGCCAGACTTCACCTGGTCGTGGCCATCCCGGGCCAGGGCTAGCTCCTGCTCTATCTCCCCCACGTGGCTCGTGGCCTTGGCCACCTCCGCCCTCTCCAGGTCCCGTTCGGCCAGCAGCTGCTCAATGTGCTGCTGCTTCTCCTTCAGGGCCTCCTGGAGGGCAGTGGTGCCGGAGATCTTCCTGGCGTACCGGGAGGAGGTCTCGGTCAGCTGCAAGGCAAAGTCAGAGACGTGAAGAGCAACGGCGCTACCGGGGGTACAGCATGCACGGCAGCAGGCCCTCGGCGAAGCACGGACACGTCTGGCTCGCGGGCCACCGGCGACCAGAAACGGCTTCTGAGCAAGCAAACGAGACAGCGCGCGCCCCTGTCTGCAAACTTCACAAGGAACACACCAGTGTCAAGAGCTCACGCAACCTTCAGGAAAGTGATCGCAAGGGCAACAAGTGGCTTAAATCGCAGCTGCCCTGAGCGCAGGTGTCAAGGCCTTGGAGGAATCAAGAAAAAGTCCACAGGACCCCCTGAAGAATTTCCTCTATTTCACTCTACTTCCGCCTGAGGTTGAGTTCTCCTCCATCTTTTGACTTGAGGCTGACGCTTTTCTAAGCTTCTCAACACCAGTCAGTAACAGAGAGATCACCTTTGGGGTCACAGATCTTCTTCGACTGGTTTATTGGTTGGATCGTTAGGTTAGCACTGTCTTCACCTTCCTCTCAAAGGGAAAGCCCTGGGAGAACTCAGCCAGGAACGCAGCCCTTGGGACTTGAACCTCAATCACCAGAGAGACTCACAAGAGTAAGGGGGAAACTCTGCCTTCCAAAGCCTGAGCGGGTGAGTGAGCATGCGTGTGAACACGTGTGGCAGGTCTGCACACCAGAGAAAGGAAGGGAAAGGAGACAGGGAGAGGGAGAAGAAGGGAAAGAGAAGCTTGTGAAGAAGTAGGGAAGGAAGAGGGCACAGAGAGAGAAGACAGGGGAGGGGGGAGAGGCGGGCGGGGCCTGGGTACCGAGAGGGATGTCTCAGCACCGCCGTCCACTCATCGCTGCTTCACAGCCCCCTCCCTGCGGCTCGAGGCCGAGGAACACTCCGTGGAAACCCCAAGAGGGCAACTTCTGAGGGTCGGCAGGGCACCGGGAAGGTGAACAGTCTTCTTCCCGGCTGGGCTCAGAGGCTGGCGGGTGGTCAGGAAACGGCCTCTTCCTGGGCAAGCACTGGACCACAGCCATGCGCTTAGTGCCTGCTGGCTCCAGCTCAGCTCCGCCTCTCTTTCACCTCCCACGGTCAAAGCCTCCCTCATCATCTGGACGCTCTCCTCTTAACACCCTTGTCACAGGACGCGGACGGACAGTCATGATCTTCCATCCATCAGTACCTGCTATCTGATAGCCACGAGAGTAAAAGGTTCCAACCCAAACCAAACTGCCCTCTCACGTGTCGTTTAGTGAACATTTTTTTCCATTTAGTGTATTATTTATTGAAAGGCAGAGGGTGGGGGAATAGAGAGATAGAAATACAGAGCTTCCATCCCCTTGTTCATTCCCAAAATGCTCACAATAGGCAGGACTGGCCCAAGTGGAAGCCAGGAGGCTGGAACTCCATCTGGGCCTCCCACCTGGGTGGAGGGAACCAAGTGCTTGAAAGATCACTTGCTGCCACCTCCCAGGTGCATTAGTAGGAAGCTGGACTGGAAGCAGAGGAGCCAGGACTTGAACCAGCACTCTGACATGGAATGTGGGTATCCCAAGTAGTGGCTTAACCCCCTGCACCACAACACCTGTCCCTAGTGAAACTTCCTGAAATACTTAAACATATTGGAAAGAAATTCCTACTCTCTGCTTTAACCATTTGACCCTGATTTTCCAATTTCATTATATAGTTAAATTGTACTTCCTCCTACTCACACTCCTTCCTGAACACATGAACAAAAAGTTCTCAAACCACAGAGCCAGTGTTGTGGGGTAGCAAGTCAGACCGTCACATTTGCATACAGCATCCCATAAGGACACTAGCTGTCCTGTATTGCTGATTCTGATCCACCCCCTTGCTAACGGCCTGGGAAACAGTGGAAGACGGCTCCATCATTTGCACCCCTGCCACCCACGTGGGACACCTAGGTGAAGTCCCTGGATCATGGCTTCGGCCTGGCTTAGCCCTGGCCATTGCTGGCCATCTGGGGAGTGAACCAGTGGTTGGATGATCTCTCTGTCTCTCCCTCTCTCCCTCTGTAACTTTGATTTTTCAAAAAAATAAATAAATCTTAGAAGAAATAAAAAAGGTCCCCAGCTAGCAGAGATGCCCCAGGGCACCAGGGCAAACTCACAGGGAAATGAGTGGTGTTTTCAACTTGCAAGGGGGGGCGGGCATTTGACTATGCAGCTCAGTCAGTCCCTGGTTGGGAATACAACAGTGTGCTGGGTGCAGTCCTGTCCACTCCTGATCCTGGGGTTCCTCCTAATGCGCCTAGGAGGTGATGGCTCAAACGGGTTCCTGATGTCCACATGGAGTCCTGGCAATCACTGGGGAGTGAACCAGCCAACAGTAGAACTCTTTCTCTCTCTCTCTGTCTCTCCCTTTTTCTCTCCCTCTCAAATAACTAATAAATAAATAACTTTAAAATAAATGAAATAGGGGGCCAGCGCTGTGGCGCAATGGGTTAACACCATGGCCTGAAGCACCGGCATCCCATATGGGCACCGGTTCGAGACCCGGCTGCTCCACTTCCTGTCCAGCTCTCTGCTATGGTCCAGGATAGCAGTAGAAGATGGCCCAAGTCCTTGGGCTTCTGCACCCACGTGGGAGACCCGGAAGAAGCTCCTGGCTCCTGGCTTCGGATTTGCACAGCTCCAGCTGTTGTAGCCAATTGGGGAGTGAACCATTGGATGGAAGACCTCTCTCTCTCTCTCTGCCTCTCCTCTCTCTGTGTAACTCTTTCAAATAAATAAATAAATAAATCTTTTAGAAAAAAATGAAATAAAATTTCCAGGACACACAACATCTGTGGGACACCACAAAAGCCACTGTCTCAAGACAACTCAGTTTCGGCGTTGGATCGCACCACGCTCCCTTCTGCGACATCTGTCTTTGCAGGGCTGGGTTTTGCCTACTGTCACAACAAAAAGTGGGCCAGCGCCGTGGCTCATTTGGTTAATCCTCTACCTGCGGCTCCGGCATCCCATATGGAGGCCAGGTTCTAGTCCCAGTTGCCCCTCTTCCAGTCCAGCTCTCTGCTGTAGCCTGGGAAGGCAGTGGAGGATGGCCCAAGTGCTTGGGCCCTGCACCCACATGGGAGACCAGGAGGAAGCACCTGGCTCCCGGCTTCGGATCAGCGCAGCGCCGGCCGTAGAGGCCATTTGGGGGGTGAACCAACGGAAGGAAGACCTTTCTCTCTGTCTCTCTCTCTCACTGTCTATATCTCTTCCTGTCAAATAAATAAATAAATAAATAAAGCAAGAGCTGTGTGAAAAGCAGCACAGCACAGGCAATGAGGGTGGACAAGGTGGACAGAGCCCAGCTGCTCACACACCACGACAGGAAGTCACTGTGGTTACGGAGAACGGGGAACAAAGGAGGCTTCTTTCAATTTCTTTGTTTTCTAGGACAGAAATATGTTGACAGCAATAATATTGAAATCACATTTTCAATTATTCTATATCCTTGTCATTTTTTTTTTTTTTTTTTTTGACAGGCAGAATGGACAGTGAGAGAGAGAGAGAGAGAGAGACAGAGAGAAAGGTTTTCCTTTGCCGTTGGTTCACCCTCCAATGGTCGCCACGGCCGGTGCACTGCGGCCAGCGCATCGCACTGATCTGAAGGCAGGAGCCAGGTGCTTCTCCTGGTCTCCCATGTGGGTGCAGGGCCCAAGCACTTGGGCCATCCTCCACTGTCTTCCCGGGCCACAGCAGAGAGCTGGACTGGAAGAGGGGCAACTGGGACAGAATCCGGCGCCCTGGCCAGGACTAGAACCCGGTGTGCCGGCGCCGCAAGGCAGAGGATTAGCCTAGTGAGCCGCGGCACCGGCGTCATATTCTCTTATGGTCTCTTCTTGATTTAGAAACTACATTAAAGGAGCTGGCGCTGTGGCGTAGCAGGTTAAGCCTCTGCCTGCAGTACTGGCATCCCACCTGGGCACCGGTTCAAGCCTTGGCTGCTCCACTTCTGATCCAGCTCCCTGCTAGTGAGACTGGGAAAGCAGCAGAAGACCAAGTCCTAGATTCCCTGTACCACTTGGGAGACCAGGAAGAAGCTCCTGGCTCCTGGCTCCACTTGTCACAGCCCTGGCATTGCAGCCATCTGGGGAGTGAACCAGCAGATTGAGTATCTCTTCCCTCTCTCTCTGTAATTCTCCCTTTCAAATAAGCAGAAAATAAATCTAAATCTAAAAAAAAAAAAAAAAAAACAAGGATGCAGGGGCGGGTGCTGTGGCATAGTGGCTTAAAGCCATGGCTTGAAGAACTGGCATCCCATATGGGTGCCAGTTCTAGCCCTGGCTGCTCCTCTTCCTTTTTTTTTTATTTTATTTTATTTTTAGATTCATGCTCCTCTTCTGATCCAGCTCTCTGCTATGGCTTGGGAAAGCAGTAGAAGATGGCCCAAGTCCTTGGGCCCCTGCACCCACGTGGGAGACCTGGAAGAAGCTCCTGGCTCCTGGCTTCAGATCAGCGCAGCTCCAGCCATCGTGGCATTTGGGAAGTGAACCAGCGGATGGAAGACGTGTCCATCTGTCTGTCTGTCTGTCTCTCTCTCTCTCTCTCTCTCTATATATATATATATACCTCTTTGTAATTCTGTCTTTCAAATCAGTAAAAATAAATTGCCAACTGCAGAGTCTCACAAGCTGCAGGAGGAAAGCCCCACTGGCTGGCAGGGCACACAACCCCCACTGAGGCCCCCCTCCTTTCCCTACCCAACAGCAGCGGAAGGGACGGCACAGAGTGCTCAGGGCCCCGCCACCCTGCTGCTCGACCACACCCCCGGCGGGTCCGGCTCCCACCTGCACTTCACTATCCTGAAGCTGAGGCCCTGAATCTAGCCTGGGCCGGAGCCTCCTGCTGTAATTCCAACAACAGTCAACAACATTCACATTGCTTCAAGTAAAATAAGCTTAAGGACGGGATGAGGTAATAACAGTCAGTGCTTCTGACACTAAGAAAATACCGTGTTAACAGAGAACGAGGCACTATTTTACTTTAATTCTGATGACTCTACTTCCGCTGCTCTAAATGGGAAGGCGGGAGAGGGAAAAGGAGGAGAGGTAAGGAGAAGAGGAAACAAACAGGACAGGGCTTTCCCCCGCACCCGTTCAGGTTCCAGGACCTTCTGTGTCCTCGGGCCACATCAGGAACACGCCACACACACACACTATTTTCTGTTAGGCTGTATTAACATAACACTAAACTTCTAAGAACATGATTGTTTTCAAAGTATTTTAGTTCCTAAAACTGTTTGAAGTTTAAACGGAAAAAGACCTATGTACCTGAGGAAAAGATCCCTCCAATTTTCCTGACATTTCTGGCCTCAAGTAATTTCAGGTCAAAGAAATCACCCCAAAACGTTAGGCTGAGCAGTACTTATTACAGTCAGCAAAAGCTGGTGCATTTGTAAGCCTTTTTCAATTTGGAGAGAGCCAAGAACAGCACTTTCCTGTTTTAAAAAATCGCATTCCTGCTGGAGTTCCGCTCCTCAAGACTTACTTGCAAGGATTTTCACAGCAAGCTACAGGCAGCAAGCAGCACAAGGACAGGCAAAGCAGGTGCACTGTGCGCGCGCATCTGTCATGCCAGAGAAGCAGGGACAGACTGAGAGGGTGGCTTACTAATCCTGTCCGGCTGGGCTTGCTGCTCACGGACGAGGCCACCGAGCTCATGGAGCTGAGGGAGGAGGCCGAGGGGCTGCGCTTCAGGCTGGCGGGCGTGGTCGCCATCACTCGCCTCACCGCGGCGGCCTTGGCCTTGGCTGGCGTGGTGGAAGGGAAGCCGATCTTGGTCACTTTGTGGACGGGCGCAAACAAGCCGTATTTGGGCTGACACTGAAAGTACCTTTGGGGAACAAGAAGAACAGTGACAAAAAACAACTTAATTATAAGAAATAGCAATTATAACCCAAAGGCTCTCTCGGCTCCTATCTTGTGACTGGACTGCTACAGATTCCCTGCATCGGCACCCGGCATTCGCAAGCACATGAGCCGATAACCCACCAGACAATGCACCAGTGACAGCACGGTACACGGAGGCACGCATCTGCAGCCCAGGTTCCGTGCACAGGGTGTAGCTAACAACTATTCCTGCCCCGTAAACACGCAGCAGAGGAGCTCAGCACGGGAGCCCCGCTCGGTGAAACTGCCAGAAAAAGGAGGAAACCCAACAAGCACCGACCTCTGGCAGATCCACTAAAGCAGAGATAAAGAACTACCAACCAGCAATGCCGGTCAGCTGTTCCTCTCAAGAGTTGCAATGCTTCAATAACAGGAGGGATGGCCGCCAGCGGGGCAACTGTGGTTCACAGTAGCCCCCAGTTAGGAGGGGACAGCAGTTTGTGCAAGGGTATACTGTGAAAAAGCTACGTGTGAATTTCTTTCGCACCAAAATAAACTTGTCTTTGGACTCCCTGGACTTTCTGAAGTGCCCTTGTGTTTGGGAACTTGGAGGCTCCAAACGTAAAGGGATGATAAGGAGATGAAAATGTCAGTCACTGTGACTTGATCACTACATGCTGGTGCAAAAGCCAAAATATCACAGAGTAACCCATAAATATATACACCTGAAGCATGCTAATCAAAAAAGGCGAATAACCCTTGTAAATGTTTTAAAAAGTTTTATTAAAAAAAAAAAAAAAAAGAAGGGGGGGGCCAGCGCCATGGCTCACTTGGTTAATTCTCCGCCTGCGGCGCCAGCATCCCATATGGGCACCAGTTCTAGTCCCGGTTGCTCCTCTTCCAGTCCAGCTCTCTGCTGTGGCTCAGGAGGGCAGTGGAGGATGGCCCAAGTGCTTGGGCCCTGCACCCGCATGGGAGACCAGGAGGAAGCACCTGGCTCCTGGCTTTGGATCAGCCCAGTTCCAGCCGTAGCGGCCATTTGGGGGGTGAACCAATGGAAGGAAGATCTTTCTCTCTGTCTCTCCCTCTCACTGTCTATAACTCTCCCTGTCAAAAAAAAAAAAAAAAAAAAAAGAAGAAGTATTTTTAAAATTAATTTTAAAAGATTTATTTATTTACCTGGAATTCAGAGTTACAGAGAGGGAGAGATACAGAGAGAGGTCTTCCATCCACTGGTTCAACCCCAAAATGGCCACAATGGCTGGGGTGGTGCCAGGCCAAAGCCAGGAGTCCAGAGTCTCCTCAGGGACTCTTGTGTGGGTACAGAGGCCCAAGCACCCAGGCCGTCCTCTGCTGCCTTCCCAGGCGCATCAGCAGGGAACTGGATTGGAAGTGGAGCAGCCAGGACACAAACGGGCACCCATATGAGATACCAGCAGCACAGGCGGCAGCTTTACCTGCTACGCCACAACACTGGCCCTGAATTAAAAAAAAGAAAGAAACTTATTTATTTAAAATGTAGTGTGACAGAGAGAGAGGGAGAGAACTTCCATCCACTGGTTCACTCCCCAGATGGCCACATTATCTGGGTTTGGGCCAGGCTGAAGCCAGGAGCTCTGAACTCCATCCTGGTCTCCCACATCAGTGCAGGGACCCGAGCGCTTGAGCCATCATATGCTGCTCTTCCAAATGTCTTACCAGGGAGCTGGATCAGAAGTGGAGCAGCCAGGACTCAAAACAGGGCTCATAAAGGATGCCGGTGTCCCAGGTGCCAGCCCAGGCGAGCTTTCTAATCACTGCAGCACCAAGATTCGTATCTGAAGTCACTGGCGTTGTAGTTGGTAGATAGAGCCCATGTGCTCATTATCAATTTGTGTGTGTTTCTAAGTAACATGCTAGCCTACGTTTTCATAACCAAGCCACACATTCATACACTGTCTACCATACTCCTGCTAAGGCATCACGCCGCACACGCATCTCACAAGAAGCGTAGGAAACTCTTTGTATTCCTCAACCCTGGGGGCAGGGGGTCTCCTTGCAGTGGCAGAAGTCTGCTTGCCGGTCTACTCGCTCGCCACAGGGTGCGATTCTCACCAGACAGGGAGGCCGTTTTCCCTAACAAAGCTGCTCCTCACTCCAGCCCCACCCTGGGGAGAACCACCACTACCAAAAGGGAGAGAAGCCAAAAGGCTGCCATGGTATTTCCTCTCTGGTTCGAAAAATAAGCTGCATGCTTGTGTGTACGATATCCACGCAGATGGAGAGAGAGTAGATGGAGGCGATCAGAGAGCAGCTCTCGGGAACGCACACTTCCGTCTCGCCACACACTCGTGAGACCCGCGAGATGCTGTTCAAGCGCCAACTAACCTCGTCCCGGCGACGGCACCATCATTCTTCCCGAGCGGCTCGTCCAGCTCCACGCCACACCACTCCCCCTTGGCAAAGTCGGTCTCCCCAAGAAAGCGCACTACACCAGCCTTGGTGCCTCCAACCTGGAGGAAGAAAAGGTTAGAGTGAAGAGACGAACCCACTTCTTCCACTTGCTCCAGCTGATCACGAAGTACTGTGTCCCAGCACTGAACACTGTGTGCCATCACTGAGTACTGCATCCTCTACATGAGTACTGTGACCACCATGTGAGTTCTGCATCCCATGTGAGCACTCCATCTGACCACTGAGTACTGTGTCCCCTCACCGAGCACTGTGTCCCACCATGTGAGTACTGCGTCCTCCACATGAGTACTGTGACCACCATGTGAGTTCTGCATCCCATCTGAGTACTGCATCTGACCACTGAGTACTGTGTCCCCTCACCAAGCACTGTGTCCCACCATGTGAGTACTGCGTCCTCCACATGAGTACTGTGACCACCATGTGAGTTCTGCATCCCATGTGAGCACTCCATCTGACCACTGAGTACTGTGTCCCCTCACCGAGCACTGTGTCCCACCATGTGAGTACTGTGTCCTCCACATGAGTACTGTGACCACCATGTGAGTTCTGCATCCCATCTGAGTACTGCATCTGACCACTGAGTACTGTGTCCCCTCACCGAGCACTGTGTCCCACCATGTGAGTACTGCGTCTTACCACATGAGTACTGTGTCCACTACTGAGCACTGCGTCTCATCACTGAATACTGCATCCCACCACTGAGTACTGCATCTCATCACTGAGCACTGCATCCCACCACTGAGTATTGCATCTCATCACTGAGTACTGTGTCCCGCCATGTGAGAACTGAGTACTACCATGTGAATACTGTGTCCCACCACTGAGTACTTCATCCCACATGAGTACTACATTTGATCATTGAGTACTGTGTCTCGTCATTGAGCACTGCGTCCCACCAAATGAGTACTGAGTCCTCCACATGAGTACTGTGACCACATGTAAGTACGGCATCCCACAACTGAGTACTGCACCCCATGTGAGTATTGTGTCTGATCACTGAGTACTGTGTCCCATCACTGACCACTGTATCCCATCCAGTGAGTACCGAATAGTACCACGAGTACTGTGTCTCATTGCTGAGCACTACGTCCCATCCATGTACCAAGTCTTACACATGAGAACTGGGTCCACCAATAAGTACTATATCTCACCACTGAGTACTGTGTCCCATGTGAGTACTGCATCTGATCATTGAGTACTGCATGCCATCACTAAGTACCGTATCCCAACACTGAGTACTGCGTCCCATCATTGACTACTGAGTCCCATCACTAAGCACTGCATCACACCACTGAGGACTGCATCCCACCAGAGTACTGAGTGCCAGCACTGAGCACTGTGTCCCATCACATGAATAATGTGTCCCATCACCGAGTACTGTGTCCCACCACTGAGTACTGCATCGCATCACTGAGCACTGCGTCCCACTACACAGGTACTGTGTCCCACCACTCACTGAGTACTGCATCCCATCACTGAGGACTGCGTCCCTCACTGAATATTGTATCCCATCACTGAGTACTGTGTCCTACCACTGAGTACTGCGTCCTCCACTGAGTATTGTGTCCCATCACTGAGCACTGCATCCCACCACACGGGTACTGTGTCCCACCACTGAGTACTGCGTCCCATCACTGAGTACTGTGTCCTCCACTGAGTATTGCGTCCCATCACTGAGTACTGCGTCCCACGACTGAGTACTGCATCCCATCACTGAGTACTGTGTCCTACCACTGAGTACTGCGTCCCATCACTGAGTACTGAGTCCCACCACACGGGTACTGTGTCCCACCACTGAGTACTGCGTCCCATCACTGAGTACTGCATCCCATCACTGAGTACTGAGTCCCACCACACGGGTACTGTGTCCCACCACTGAGTACTGCGTCCCATCACTGAGTACTGAGTCCCACCACACGGGTACTGTGTCCCACCACTGAGTACTGCATCCCATCACTGAGTACTGTGTCCTCCACTGAGTACTGCATCCCATCACTGAGTACTGAGTCCCACCACACGGGTACTGTGTTCCACCACTGAGTACTGCGTCCCCCACTGAGTACTGCATCCCATCACTGAGTACTGAGTCCCACCACACGGGTACTGTGTCCCACCACTGAGTACTGCATCCCATCACTGAGTACTGTGTCCTCCACTGAGTACTGCGTCCCACCACGTGTCCCAGGGGCTTCTCACCCCATCTTCTCTGAGTTCTCTTGAAGATCGATCGATAAAGTTGCCTGTGTAACTCACATAAATCAGTGGTTTGATACCTGGTATATCCCAATAATGAAACAGCCTTTATAATATTTAGTCTTTAAGATGTCTACCAAATTAATTATTCTCTCCGTTAGAAAACTACTTTATTACCCCAGAGCGATTTTCCTACTTCCAAATAAATATTTTTGATAAAAACAAAACTTTTACAACACAAAAGGAAGAGAAAATTCATCATAATACCTACACTTCACCAACTGGAGTTTATCTTCCCATTCTTCCTTTGCACCTTTATCCACGTGGAGGACAAATGCCCACTATCCACACAGCACGTTTGGTTTGGGCCTCTCTGTTATAGGAAAATGTAAGCACCCCAAGTGGGCATCAATTCAAGTCCCAGCTGCTCCACTTCCGATCCAGCTCCCTCCCCACTGGCCATCTGGGGAGAGAACCAGCAGATGGAAGACTTTCCTCTCTCCTGTCTCCCCGCCCCGTAATTTTGACTTTCAAATAAATAAAAAAATTAATCTTTTTTTAAGGGGGGGGGGCTTTAAAATACTTGATGCTGTTAATCTTTTTCACTGAGAGCTACCGTGTCTTCACAAAGGTTAAAATTACCATTCTTCACATTTTACTTCACGTCAACAGTTCAAAGCTGTGAGTCTTTTGTCCTAGCCACTGCTTGATGTCAATTATATTCAAACGTCAATTATCTTCAAAATTATTCCAGCAGCACTTGCTAATTATCCCTCTTTCACCACTATTTTCCACTACAGAGAATCCCACTCTCGTAGGTACCTCAGAGCACATAGGGGTGTGTGAGTCTCCACAGGTTCCAGACACTCAGTGTGCGCCGTTCCTCACCACCTTCTCTGACGCCACAAGGGCACTCAGTGTGCGCCGTGCTCCACCCCTCCACTGACGCCACAAAGGCACTCAGTGTGCGCCGTGCTCCACCACCTGCACTGACGCCACAAAGGCACTCAGTGTGCGCCGTGCTCCACCACCTGCACTGACGCCACAAAGGCACTCAGTGTGCGCCGTGCTCCACCACCTGCACTGACGCCACAAAGGCACTCAGTGTGCGCCGTGCTCCACCCCCTCCACTGACGCCACAAAAGGCACCCAGTGTGCGCTGCTCTCCACCCCCTCCATTCCTGCTGCTTTTCAGCTGGATCCTCACAGCCTGCACCAGCTCCCTCCAATCACCGCACTACTTCAGAAGATTATCTGGTTTTCTGACATTTTTTTCTAAGCCTCTCTTTCAAACTCAATTTCTTTTTAAAAGTTCCTCCATTCATGGCCAGCATCGTGGTGCAGCAGGTAAAACTACCACCTGCAAATCCAGCATCCCACAGCCAAGCACCAGTTTGAATCCTGACTGCTCCCTGCTAATGCGCCTGGGAAAGCAGTGGGAACCTGCCCAAGAGCTTTGGCCCCTGCACCCATGTGGGAGACCCAGATGAAGACCTTGGCTCCTAGCTTTGGACTGGCCGGCCCTACTCTAACCACTGCAGCCATTTGGGGAGTAAACCAGCAGATGGAAGATCTTTCTCTCTATCTCTCCCGTTCTTTAACTCTGCCTTCAAATAAATAAATTAAAAAAACAAAAATGTGCCAATAACTCCTAATTCTAGTTCTGTGGTGAATCTAAGACAGAAGTAGAAGATCTTCTGGAGACTAAACCAGCAACTCAGCTACAGGAAAACTGAGTGACTAAACTCTCACTTTAGCAAATCTGGGATTTGTAAGTTCTCTCATTCATGCAATATGTATTTCTTGAGTGTTTAGGCCCTTGGAATACAAAGATAAATAGAATACAGGGTTGGCCGTTGAGTGAGAGAAAAGTCCAGATAAATGTAATTCCTGTCAAAAGTGGTAACCAGAGCCGGTGCTGTGGTGCAGCAGGTTAAAGCCTTGGCCTGTGGTACCAGCATCCCATACAGGCGCCGGTTCAAGACCCAGCTGCTCCACTTTCGATCCTGCTCCTAGCTAGTGTGCCTGGGAAAGCAGTGGAGGATGGCCCAAGTCTTTGGGCCCCTCCACTCGCGTGGGAGACCTGGAAGAAGCTCCTGGCTTCGGGTTGGCACAGCTCCAGCCGCTGGGGCCATTTGGGGAGTGAACCAGCAGATGAAAGACCTCCTCTCTCTCTCTCTCTAACTCTGCCTTTCAAATAAATAAAATAAAGCTTTTTTTTTTTTAAGTGGTAGCCATTTTGAGAGATTTCTGCAAAATGCTGTGGGAACAGAGACACATCCTTCCTGTAAGCTCTTATGAAATAAGAACACTGATGAATTCTGCTGGGTCAACAAATGTGGCTACACACAAGAGACTCTTAATCCCTCTACACCGCCCATCTATTCATTATCAGCTCAACAAGCTGTCTAATCTCCTGTGCCTCGGTTTACAAGGCCATAAAATGTGCAGTGAATGCTAATGAGGGATTGCGCTAGAGGAATTTTAGGAGCAATAAAATTTTCTAAGGTGGCTTCCAACCTGCCACACTCTAAGCTAAACAGCTATTTTTAATTTGTAAATGTGGCTAGAGGGTGTGTGCCAACTACCCCATGCCACTCCACCCCACCCAACCGGACCACGGTGAGCAGGTGCCAGCTGCTCTGGGCCCTCCACCCGGCAACGCTCTGCACAGGAAGACAGGTCCTTCACAGGGCTCTCCCCGTGGACTCTGATTCTGCCCCTGTGTCCCAGGTCACAGTACTACCCTTCCCCCTCAAGGGTACCACGTGACAGCTGTGCCCCTTCCAGCAGCCTGTACTGAGCCCCTGCCGCAGGCAGGGCAGTGGCCTAAGGGCTGGGAATGCACCAGTATGAGAGGGAAGCTCCATGTCTTCATGGAGCTCCAATTCTGTTCCAGGAGGAGTGGATGGAAGCAAGAGGGCTCCACAGTGAAGGTGCTGCCGAGGACGCCTGTCCCGAGGGCCATCTGAGCCCCGACCCGAGTGGCCGCAAGGGGGCAGAACATCCCAGAGTGGGGCCGGGCCTGGGGTGTTTAGGAACAGCTGGAGCTGGGGGGCACCTCCAGGAAGTGGGGTTCAGTTCCTAGGGGGTCCTCTGCACCACGCTGATCCGAAGGCAGGAGCCAGGTACTTCTCCTGGTCTCCCATGGGGTGCAGGGCCCAAGCACTTGGGCCATCCTCCACTGCACTCCCGGGCTACAGCAGAGAGCTGGACTGGAAGAGGGGCAACCGGGACAGAATCCGGCACCCCGACCGGGACTAGAACCCGGTGTGCCGGCACCTCTAGGTGGAGGATTAACCTAGTGAGCTGTGGCGCCGGCTGCAGGTGGTTTTCTAACTACCTTGGTGACTTTCATGTGGAACCAGAAGCAAAACCCCATGTGTTGGCTTTCCTAACCTGCTGTGATCAGAAGATAGAAAGTGTTTCAAGATATTTTCCTAGTAATGCTTTAAAAAGTCACAGGATCAATAAAGTTGTTGGGAGTTAGGGGAAGTGATCTCACATTCAGCCCTGAGGCCTGCACAGTGGTCAAACTTGTCTGCCTCAAATTCCAGAACAAGACTCCCCACTCCTCAAACTCCCAGCCCCCCAGGCTTACACAAGGTTCCTGAGGCTGGACAGACGCCAGCCGTGGCACGCCTGGCTTAGGTTTGCAGAAAGAAACCACTGCCCAATTACTGAGCCCCAAACACCACGAAAACCAAGCCACTCCTTTAAGCAGTTGGGCACTAAGGGATTTTACCCTGGAGAACCTCCATCACTGAGACGACATGTCATTTTCTAATTTTTATTTATTTCAGAGACAGAAACACACACACACACATACACACACACACAGCACCGTAGTTCATAGTTCACGGGCTCACACCCCAACCCCCTGTGAGGGCAGGCACTGAGCTGACACTGCTGCCTCCCAGGGTCTGCATTAGCAGGAAGCCGGAGCCGGGAGCTGGAGCTGGGCACTGAACCCAGGCCTCCCAAAATAAGAGACGGTGACTGAACCAAAGAAATCTATCTTTTAACTTCATTGCCCTGTGCACTTTCTGAAGTACTTTTGTACAGTAAAAATGAAAGAAAAAGTAAACACAAAAACTTCCTATAATGAGGAATATTTGAAACAAATCCAAAATTGGTACAGCAGGCGAGTACTAGCCAAACATCAAGATTCGGGCTGAGGGTGGGTGCCCGGTGCTGCAGTGAAGTCGCTGCGGAGACACCCCCGTCCACGTCAGAACCTCCGGGGTCAGACCTGGCTCCACTTCCGACCCAGCTTCTTGCTAACGCACACCCTGGGAAGCAACAGGTGACAGCTCAAGTACTTGGATTCCTGCCACCCAGGTAGGAAACCCTGATTCAGTCCTCGGCTCCTGGCTTCAGCCTGGGTCAGCCTAGGTACCAAGGGCACCTAGGGAGTGAACTAGCAGATGGAAGATCTCTTCTGCCTCTCTCTCTCTCTCTGCCTTTCCAATTAAAAATAAAATAATAAAAAAAAAAAACATTAAATCAGTACTTTAGCTGCAATAACGAGAAAAACAGCTAGCATTTCCTGAATGTTTACTGTATCCCAGGCACCACAAAGAATTTTACACGCATTACCTAATTTATTCCTCACAGCAAAACTATGAAGTTAGTAGTATTATTAACTTCATGCTTATAGGCTAGAAAATTTAGAAGTTAACTATCAGGGCCAGTGCTGTTATAGTGGGTAAAGCCAGCACATGCAGTGCCAGCATCCCATATGGGCACCAGTTCGAGTCTCAGCTGCTACATTTCCGATCCAGCTCTCTGCTGTGGCCTGGGAAAGCAGTAGAAGATGGCCCAAGTGCTTGGGCCCCTGCACCCATGTGGGAGACCCAGAAGATGCTCCTGGCTCCTGATTGGCCCAGCTCTGGCTGTTGCGGCCATTTGAGGAGTGATCCAGCAGATGGAAGACTCTTTCTCTCTCTCTCTACCTCTGCCCCTCTACAACTGTGCCCTTCAAATAAATAAATAAATCTTACAAAAAAAGTTAACTATCTTGCTCAGGTCACAAAGGCAAACCTGGGACTCAGCTTATGTTCTTAGCACAATGCCACTCTGCCACTCTTGCCAAAATAAAAAGAACAAATCAATCACTGGTACAAACTCAGAGATTCCAGAATGCACAGCATACAGACCTTACACCCTGTGTTCCCTGCTTATTACTAAAAGAGAATCCACTCTACATTTCCTCTTCTTCTAGATATAAACCCGATCATTTAAAAGGCCCAAAGGGACACTGGTTAGGATACCCACATCCCGTCAGGGTTCCTGGGTTTGAGTCACAGCTCTGGCTCCTAATATCACCTGCCTGCTAACGCAGACCCTGGGAAAGCAGGTGCGGACTCCGACAGCCAGGAGTCTCTGCCACCATGTGGAAGACCTGGATGGAGTTCCTGGCTCCCAGCTCCATCCCCTCCCCCACAACCAACTCTTTGCCACCTCCCACCCCCACGGCAGCCGCAGGCATTTAGGGAGTGAACCAGAGGATGGGAGCTCTCTTTGTCTCTCTGCCTTTCAAATAAATAAATAAAAAACTCAGCAACTCTAAAACAACACCCTCTCACGTCTGAGTTTTTCAAAACATTTATGGAAGCAGGATCTTATTATATTTATACACTACTATCCTTAAAACCAAAGTTAAAGGGCTGCATGTGGCACAGCAGGTTAAGCTGAGGCTTGCGACTCCAGCATCCTATATAGCAGCCCCAATTCTGATCCAGCTCCCTTCTAACGCACTTGGGAAAAACATCAGATGGTGGGCCAAGTACTTGAGCCTCTGCCGCCCACGTGGGAGACTTAGATGGAGTTCCTGTCTCCTGGCTTTGTCCTGGTCCAGCTCTCATTATTGTGGCTATTTGGGGAGTAAATCAAAGGATAGAAAATCTCTAGGGGCCAGTGCTGTGGCGCAGTGGGTTAAAGCCCCAGCCTGCAGCGCTGGCATCTTATATGGGCGCCAATTCTAGTGCCGGCTGCTCCTCTTCCCATCCAGCTCTCTGCTATGGCCTGGGAAAGCAGTAGAAGATGGCCCAAGTCCTTGGGCCCCTGCACCCACATGGGAGACCTGGAAGGAGCTCCTGACTCCTGGCTTCGGATCAGCTCAGCTCTGGCCATTGCAGTCACTTGGGGAGTGAACCAGCGGAATGGAAGATCTCTCTCTCTCTGGCTCCACCTCTCTCTGTAACTCTTTCAAATAAATAAAAAAATTATTTAAAAAAAAGAAAAAGAAAAAGAAAATCTCTGTCTCTACTCCCCTGACCCATTCCTCTACCTTTCAAATAAATAAATAAATCTTTAAAAAAATAAAAAAATAAAAACCAGAAGGAAAAAAAAAAAACCCCACAAATGTTTATAGAAACCATATTCTTTTGGCTCAAGTGGAAAATAAAACTAGCGTATCATTGCAAATCCATGCTTGTGGCCGTGCCCTACACAAAATGCAAGACAGTTTGGAATTTGTTTATGTATTTACACATAAACTGAACCAACAGAAAATTTGATTAATTCTTCTGAAAGCGAGTGGCCAGACTGTGGGCCAAGCAACACCGTAACTGTGTGTTTCACCTCCTCACAGGGAGTCTGTCTCAGTTCGGCACCACAGCCAGAGGATTGTCTCATCAACTCACCAACACCCGGTCTCCGATTCTGAGCTCTCGTTCTCCTTTCTTGATTGAGCCAGCTTCTGAAAGGTTGGAGATGGATTCACTGGTGGTTTTCGTAAGGTTGCTGATCTGGGATGTCGCTGAAGGGTCCTTTGCTGTTGGCTGGGGAGACTTATGGGAAATGTTTGCCGGGGTGGCTGGGGAGGACACCACGCTGCCGGCAGACGGCGACGTGGCTCTGGGAGCTTGAGTCGTCTGCACGCCATTGGCTTCGTCTTCCGCCTGGACCTTCCGTGTTAACTTTGACGGTCGGGTAAAAATGCCCTTCAGAGGTTCACACTGGAAATAACGAACTCCAGCCACCGAGCCATCGTTCTTGCCTATGGGTTCATCTAAGACAATCCCAGCCCACTGGCCTGGTGCAAACTGGGTCTCTCCAAGAAACTGGATAAACCCAGGCTTGTTGCCGTTCACCCAGACGCGCTCCCCAACACGGAAGTCATCGACAAATTCCTCCTGAGCCTCAGAGGATGGGACGCTTGATGCTTTTTCGGTGGATACTGTTTTTTCTACTGGAGCTGCAACTGAAGACAGAAGACAGACAAGGTTCAATTTCAGAACTGGGCAGGTGACCTCTAACTTTAAGGAAAATAAGCCAGGCAAAGCCCACAGCGAGAGAAGCTGCCCACAACTCCCGCAGAACTGTTCTGGTTTTGTTTTTTAAGCAAAGAGGCAAAGAGCACTTGATCCATCACACCACTGTCTTTCCTTTTCTCCCAATTTTAATCACGATGAGTGATTAATCACTGATAAAATAACTCCTTGGCAATACACATCCGCAGATACAAATTTAAGGTGGATCAATGTGTGGTTAGCAGGTTATGCCACAGCTTGAAGCCCAGGCACTCCAAATCACAGTGCCGGTTCAAGTCCCAGCTGCTCTGCCTACAATCCAGCTCCATGCTCATGTGTGTGGGAGAGCAACCCATGACAATCATGTGGGAGACCTGGAAGTAGCTCCCGGCTCCTGGCCCAACCCAGCAGTGGCCATATGGGCCATCTGGGGAGGGAGCAGTAAATGGAGGACCTCTATCTGTCTCTCCCTTCCTCTCTGTAACTCTTTCAAAGTAAATCAATCAATCTATTTTTTAATAATAAAAACTCTTCATTGATTAATATTGCCAAATATAAAATCCTATGTCCTTTTTTTTTTTTAGATTCATTTATTATTTGAAAAACAGATTGACAGAGAGACAAGGAGAGACAGTGAGAGAAAAATATTCCATTTGCTGGTTCACTCCCCAAACAGCCACGAGGGTTGGGGCTGGGCCAGGCAGAGCCAGGAGCCAACAACTCCGTCTGGGTCTTCCACCTGCGTAGCAGGAGCTCAAGCACTTGGGCCACCTTCCACTGCCTTCCTAGGCACACTAGCAGGGGCTGGAATTGGAGGCAGAGCAGCCCGGCCTTGAACTAGCGCTTTGATATGGGATGCTGGTGTCCCAGGAGGCAGCCTAACTCACTGTGCCATAAGGCCAGGCCAGAAACTCTATCTTTTAATTAAACTCTTCTCAAAAAAAATTTTTTTTTTGACAGGCAGAGTGGATAGTGAGAGAGAGACACAGAGAAAGGTCTTCCTTTTGCCGTTGGTTTACCTTCCAGTGGCCGCCGCGGTCCGCGCACTGCGCTGATCTGATGGCAGGAGCCAGGTGCTTCTCCTGGTCTCCCATGGGGTGCAGGGCCCAAGCACCTGGGCCATCCTCCACTGCACTCCCGGGCCACAGCAGAGAGCTGGCCTGGAAGAAGGGCAACCGGGACAGAATCCGGCACCCCGACCGGGACTAGAACCCCGTGTGCCGGCGCCGCTAGGTGGAGGATTAGCCTATTGAGCCGCGGCGCCGGCCTCAACTGTTTTCAAGAACATGAATTTTTATAAAGCTATTTTTTTAAATAAAAATTTCTAACTTAAGTTTTCATACAGGATCACTTGTTTGTTGTTAAGAAAAAACATGAGGGGCTGGTGCTGTGGCTCGCTTGGTTAACCTCCACCTACGGCGCTAGCATCCCTTAAGGGCACCGGGTTCTAGTCCTGGTGGCTCCTCTTCCAGTCCAGCTCTCTGCTGTGGTCCAGGAAGGCAGTGGAGGATGGCCCAAGTGCTTGGGCCCTGCACCCCATGGGAGACCAGGAGGAAGCACCTGGCTCCTGGCTTAGGATCAGCGCAGCGCTGGCTGCTGCAGCCATTTGGGGAGTGAATCAATGGAAAGAAGACCTTTCTCTCTGTCTCTCTTACTGTCTATAACTCTGTCAAATTATTAAAAAAAGAAAGAAAAAACATGCGGGACAGGCAATGGGCACGGTGGTCAAGACCCCTCTTAGGACACCCGCATCCCACACTGGAGCGCCTGAGTGTGAGTTCTGGCTATTCTGCTTCCAATCCAGCTTCCTGCTCATGTGCCCGGGAGGCAGCAGGTGGTGGCTCAAGTACCTGGGTCCCTGCCGCCCACCTGGGAGACAGGCAATGAGTCTCTTAAGACTCCTAGCTTCAGCTGGCCCAGCCCTGGCTGCTAAGGGCGTTTGGGGAGTGAACCAACAGACAGAAGATCTCTCTGTCTCTCTGCCTCTCAAAATAAAGTGAAAAGAGGAGGAAAGGAAAGGCAAGACACAACGCATCACCAGCAGCAGGTGTCTTCAAGGCGGAGCTCCCTGGCTTGAGGATCCTGCTGGGGGCCTTTAGCCCGCTGGGCTTCAGCATGCTCATCTTCCCAGGACGTCAGCGCTCTTTCTCTCTGCCTCTGGTCACTATCTTTCCCCAACCATCGATACAACTGTGGGTGTTTCTATTGCAAAGTCGGCCTCTGGAGTGAATCTGAAAGAGAAATACAGAGATTGTGGACGCTGCAGGACAAAGGAAGCAGGAGCACAGCTATTATTACAGCAGCTTTCAGGGCTTGAACTTCCCCTTACGCTCGTTTATGGTAATAAACCGTCTCTACACAGAACCTAAAAAGTGGAATAAAAAAAAAAAACCACGAAAATGCTGCTGAAATGGACTTAGAGGTGACTGTCCCAGAGAGAGGTTAAGGCGAGCAATACTTTCTATTACCTAGTCCTGCCAGACCAGTAGACTCAAGCAATCCATACAAGGGGGTTCAGAGGAACTCGCACCAAGCATCGGAGGAAGGGGAAGGCAGCTCTCAGTTTTTCTTTGCCCATTTCTATGCTGCCTATGTTTTAGCACCAGCAGTCTGTATTAGCTGAGTATTTTTAAATATGCAGCATAAAATTATGTACAAGTTAAACCACAGGAGGATTCAAACCCTAACAGAAAGTCTCTTCTGGGAAGAGATGCAGGAAACTTATCTTTGTTCTGTCTGGAAAAACACAACATAGTTCTGCTTTACGCAAGACTAGGTGTGCGTCCTGGGAGTAGGCAAGAGTGTCTCCTCACCTTCTTGCAACCCGCACAGGAAGTGAATTGAGGCCTCAGAGAAGGGGAAAAAAAAAAAAAGGAAAGAAACGGCTGACACCATGAAGTAGCAGGTAAAGCCGACACCTGCAGTGCCTGCATCCCATATGGGCACCGGTTCGAGTCCCGGCTGCTCCACTTCCAATCCAGCTCCCTGCTAATGTGCTTGGGAAGGCAACAGGTGATGGTCCAAGTCCTTGAGCCCCTGCCACCCATTTGGGAGACTTAGATGGAGTTCCTGGATCCTGGCTTTGGTCTGGCCCAGCCCCAGCTACTGAAGCCACGCAGACATTTGGGGAGTGAACCAGTGGATGGAGGATCAACCAATCAATCAATCTCTCTCTCTGATCAATTTCTCTCCGTGTCTTTCTGCCTTTCAAATAAATAAAATAAATCTTTAAAAAGCAAACAAACAAACAAAAAAAAAGAGCCAGCACTATGGTGTATAAGGTAAAGCTGCCACCTGCAGTGCCAGCATCTCATATGGGCTTCTCATCGAGTCCCAGCTGCTCCACTTCCAATCCAGCTCTCTGCTATAGCCTGGGAGAGCAGAAAAGTGCTTGGGCCCCTGCACCTGCGCGGGAGACCCAGAAGAAGCTCCTGCCTCCTGACTTTACATCAACTCAGCCCCAGCCATTGCAGCCATTTGGGGAGTGAACCAGCGGATGGAAGACCTCTGTGTGTGTGTGTGTGTGCAACTCTGCCTTTCAAATAAATAAGAAGAATGGGAAAGGAAGAGGGAGGAGGAAGAAAGGCAGGAATATGGGTGGGAGGGAGGTGGGGGGAAGAGTCTTCATGTTCTCAAGTCTGTATACATTAAATGCATGAAATTGTATTCCTTAAAAACATTAAAAAAAAATCCTGAAGAGAACACAGGCGAGCAGGTCATGGGGAGAGGGAGGCGGGGACGGGGAGGATGGGTCCAGGTCTGACTCATAGACTGCAGCAACCACCACAGCTAGGAGCAGCGCCTGGGGCGGACTCTCCCTGAGCCGCAGAAGCAACCAACCCCGTCACCGTCAGTGCCTCCCCTCGGACCTTGGGCTTCCGGAACAGTGAGAGAACAAAGGTCAGCAGCTCCTGGTAACTTTTTATGGCAGCCCAGGAAACAGACACAGTCATCTAAGTTTCTCCGCTCAAAAATAATCAGAACTAGGGGGCCGGTGCTATGGAGTAGAAGGTTAAGCCTCCCCCTACAATGCTGGTATCCCACATGGGTGCCAGTTCTAGTCCCAGCTGCTCTACTTCAGATCTCACTCTATGCTAATGCCCCTGGGAAAGCAGTGGAAGATGGTCCAAGTACCTGGGCCCCTGCACCCATGTGGGAGACCCAGAAGAAGCTCCTGGCTCCTGGCTCCAGCCACTGCAGCCATTTGGGGAGTGAACCAGCAGGTGGAAGATCTCTCCCTCTCTCTATTTCTGCCTAATAAATAAATCTTTTTTTTTTTAAAGTAATTAGAACAAATGGAAATCAAACCAAAGCAGGTGCCTCATCCGTCTCGCTGTGCGGCCCATGCTTCCTGAAAGGGCTCGGATGGTAGGTGTTTTTGAAGAGTCAGAGATAAATTGTGTCGTTGGGAGAAGACTCTGATTAACAGAGAAAACCGCTGGGTTGTCTGTCCCACCAGCTGAGCAGCAGGTTCCCAGCTCCTCACGGCCACCACTGCTGTGGCTGCCGAGTGGGTCTGGGTGCGAGTCTGAGGGCCAGGCGGACGGTCCCTGCTTACTGTCAGATCCTCAGCACACGCAGCCTCAGACCTTCAAGCCGCGACTGGCTTCTGCTCCTGCACTGGACAGGCCTCCTCCAGACACAGCTGAGAAAGGTGTGCAGTGTTCAAAAGACGCGAGAAGGCCGGGGCTGGGCCAAGCGCAGAAACTAGGCTGGCACCTTCCTTACTCTTCACGCTGGTCCAGTATCAGAGTGACCTGGGTCAGGGGAGGACAGCGCAGACAGAGGAGGCATGGGGGAAGCTATTATGACGGCAAGAAGAAAGGATGAAGTCCAGCAGTTAAGATGCCCACATCCCATTTCAGACTGACAGGGGTCCATGCCCAGCGCTGGCTCCCAGCTCCAGCTCCCTGCCAGTGTAGACCCTGGGAGGCAGCAGTTGGCTCAAGTGCTTGGGTTCCTGACACCCATGTGGGAGAACCTGACGGAGTTCCCAGGCCTGGCTTTTTGGAGAATGAACCAGCAGATGGGAGATGGGAGCTCTATATATCTCTCTTTCTCTGTCACTCTGCCTCTCAAATACAAAAAAAAAAGAAAAAAGTATATATGTGATTTTAAATATTTTACTCAGGCAAATCAGTGAGCTCTTGGGTTCAGGTCAAGCACTCCCTAAAGAAAAATTTTTAAATCTACCACAGTGAGCAGCTACGCAAGCCTCAGCCAAATTTTTCAGCTCAACATCATAAACTCTCAAAATCTGACTACCTACAAGCCTCAGCCTGAGACATAGAACCAAAACATGATGACAGACTATGACTTCACTGTCTAATCCCACACCCTGGCTCTCAATCCATCCGAGGTATATGAATCCCAAAGCAGGGAACTATAAACAAGATTTAACGAAGGAGAAAAATCTAGTCTGTCTCAATAACAGCTAGGAGCAACAATTCCAATGCTGGTTTTTTAAATCCTCCAATTTAAGTTTCTTCTTTGTGAATTACTAATGCCTGGCATGTCAGGCTTGCTTCAAAAAATCAGGGTGGCGTAGCGAGTAGAGCCGCCGCCTGCAGTGCCGGCATCCCATATGGGTGCCAGTTCTAGTCCCAGCTGCTCTTCTTCCAATCCAGCTCTCTGCTGTGGACTGGGAAAGCAGTAGAAGATGACCCAAGTCCTTGGGCCCCTGCACCCACATGGGAAGACCTGGAAGAAGCTCTTGGCTCCTGGTTTCTGATCGGTGCAGCTCTGGCCATTGTGGCCAATTGGGGAATGAACCAGCGGATGGAACACTTCACTCTCTCTCCCTCTCTCCCTCTCCCTCTTCCTCTCTCTCTCTTATTCTGATTTTCAAATAAAATAAATAAATCTTTTAAAAAAATCAATTCACTGAGACATAAAAGAGCAAAGTCTTGGCCACGGTACCCATAAAGTGTAATGACCAAGAAGAGACATCTCTGCACTATGTTTCAAAGTCAGTCAACGTGAGGCCAGCACTGTGGCACAGCAGGCAAAGCCACTGCCCTGAGACACCGGCATCCCATATGGCTGCTCCACTTCCCATCCAGCTCCCCACTAATGCACCTGGGAAAGCAGCAGCAAATGGCCCCAGTCCTTGGGCCCCTGCATCCACATGGGAGACCTGGAAGAAGCTCCTGGCTTCAGATTGGCCCAGCTCCAGATGTTACAGCCATCTGGAGAGTGAACCAGCGAAAGGGTAACACCTCCCACCCTGATAACGCTGTCTTTCAAATAAATAAATTAAAAAAAAAAAAAAAAGCAAATGTCACACTGAAACTAATCAATCCCAAAAAGCATGCGAAACGGAAGAAAAAGATGTTCTAGCCTCAGAAATAAGCTGAGCACATTTGAATTGCTGATGCTTGTGCTCACTGAATCGAGAGATTTAGACCTAAAATAAGACAAATCCCCTTCCTCCACCCTCCCAACAGGCAAGAACCATTAACACAATAGAACATTACAATTTAGAAATAATTTTGGTCCATATAATTATCCCAATTAAGCTTCACAGAACCACAGATACTATTACGCTTGCTTAACAAATGAAGAAACGTCCCAGAAATCAACAGGAGTGTTTCCTCATTTGTTAGTCACCTGCCATTTTAGTCATTCTGCTCAGAAGCAGAGAGGTAAACATAGATACTGTGATTCCTAAGCCCAAGGTCTTTCCACTAAATCTAAAATCCAAGTTAGGAGATACCACAGGTCAGGGGTTAACTCGCCCCTAGGGATGCCAGCATCCTGCACTGGAGTGCCTGCTTCAACTCCCCACTACTCCACTTGTAATACAGTTTCCTGCTAATGCGCGCACTGGGGGACAGCAGTGATGGCTCAAGGACTTTGGGTCCCTGCCACCCACATGGGAGACCCGGATTGAGTTCCAGGTTCCTGGCTTTGGCTTGCCCAACCCCAGCTGTTGTGGGCACTTGGGGAATCAAGTAGCCAATGGAAGAGCTCTGTCTGCCTGCACCTCCCCCGCCTTTAAAATGAAATGAAAACAAATAAATAAGTTTTAAAGATTTATTTTATTTATTTGAAAGGCAGGGTGACAGAGAGGGAGAGATAGAGATCTTCCACCTGTTGGTTCACTCCTCCAAAGGCCAGAAGGGCCAGGGCTAGATCGGGCTAGATCAGGCTAAAGCCGGGAGCCAGGAACTCCAACCAGGTCTCCCACGTGGGTGCAGGTCTCCAAGCACCCAGGCCATCTGCTGCTGCT